CGGAGCAGCAGCGGCTCCGGCGTTCGGCGGCGGCCACGGCGGCGACGGGGAGCAGGGCGGTGAGGGCGAAACGGGGGAGGAGCGGTGGCGAACAGGGGAAGGGGGTAGTCTTTGGGTGGCAGCCAAGCGGTGGGGTGGCGGTCGGTGGGCGGCTGAGCGGCGACAGGTTGGGGCGGCGAGCAACGCCGGTGCGGCTAGATCCGGCCCAGAGTGGAGGGAAAGAGAAGAAGGGACGGGAGAGATGGGAACAGTCGGGCTCGGGACGATCGGCGGTACGGACGGTGACTCGGGTCGACGGAACGCCGGCCGGACGGGCGGTGAGCGCGCGGCAGCCGGCGGCGCGGTGGAAGGCACGCGCGAAGGAGGAAAAACCGAGATCTGGAGCGAGGGAGGAGAACCCGGTCGGGCGGCGCGGCAGCGGACGGCGGCGCGGCGGTCGAGCTAGTTGGCGACGCGCGACGCGCGGTGGCTGGGCGAGCTCGGGCGGTCGGCGTCGGGCGACAGACACACGAGCGGAACCCGGTCGGGGCCGAGGAGGAAGAAAGGAAGAAGAAGAAGAAGAAGAAAGGAGGAAGAAGGAGAGAGAAAAGAGAGAGAGAGAAGAAAAGGGACATGCGGGCAGGAGGGAGAGAACGTGCGCGTAGGGGAGGGCGCGCGGAGGAGGAGAGAGAGAGAGAAAATAGAATAAGAAATAATTTGAACATTCAAATATTATTTGCAAACCGATGGTCCAAATTCAAAACCGAAAACGATCTACCGGTCCAAAATAAGCCTCGCATATAAAAAGGGACAAAGGCCAAATTAATTAGACCAAATTATAACGAGGGAGGTCTACTAGTCCAAATTCGCACGTGGTCAAAAACTCCCATTTTTCCATCATTCCCGAAAATCTCAACGTTGGCTACCATAATATTGACACCGTCCAATTTATTTCGTCCCGAAAATCGACTGCCAAGTTCAGGGTCTAAATAACGGCCAAATTTGATCGAGTGCGATTCTAGCGAAATCTCTAATTTAAAATGATCATCGGGAGTGATCAGTTCCCGGGCGAGATTTTACTATAAGCACACTGACAAATTACGCGTTTTATAAATCCCAACTATGGGCCGAAATTCGGAATGTCACACTCCTCCACCTCTGCTCCATGAGTCTCCTGCGGCCGCGAACGGCAGCCATCAGCAGCCACATGTATGGATGAATGTGGAGTTTTTAGCTCTCTGCAATCTCAAGAGGGTAAAGAAGCAACTTTTTCTTATGATAATAAATTCGAAGGGAAATTTGTTCAAAAAAGTTCTAAATCTATTGTGGCGGTAGCCAATTTGGTCTTAACCCTTTCAATTGTGCCAATTTAATCCTAAACTTTTTAAAGATTTGCCAATTTAATCCTAAACACTTTTAACGATTTGCCAATGCAGTCCTTCGATGATTTCTGACCAAAATTACTCGAAATGACTATATTGGCAAATCTTTAAAAGGTTTGGAACTAAATTGGTCGCCGCACATAATAGACTTAGGACTAAATTGGCACAATGAAAAGTTTAAGACTGAATTGGTTGCCGCACAATAATTTTAGGACAATTATCCCTAAACTTAGGGTGATAATAAGCTCAATGCAAATGTTTTCATAGACCTCTAGCATTGTTATGTGATTTCTTTCCCTATAAGACAACACCAATCTTAGCAGATCCGAACTTTATTTCAACATTGTGAAGTATTAATGATAATCTAAATCTTATCCAGAAGATCTTACCCAAAAAAAGAAAATCTTATCCAGAAGTTCTAATTCTTCTAGCATCGCAGAGTTATCTTATGCTTGACTAGCTATCAACTTATAGAGTTTCTTGATTGGTTAGGACCCAAAGAGAACTTTTTTTTGTCTTTGATAGAAAATCCGATTGGTCCTACTGGTGTTTTCAGAAGTAAATCTCAAAGGAATCTCCATACTTTTTTGTTGGTAGAATACAAATATAAAAGGTCCAAGAAAAGTCAGCACACGACAACCATGGATGAATTCCATTCGCACACCTATACTTTTGAAGTCCAATCAGTGATTTTTGCATAATTAAAATAAATATGATGTTATTGAACATTGTCAAAAAGACTTTTGGAGCCTATTTAATTTAAAAAAATTCGACTTATAAAGGGATAAATTACGCATAACACGATAACAGCTTGCGCAATACAAACTATACGAATTCCGGAAAAATTATCCAAAAAGTCATAAACTTATTGCATTTTTGCCAATTCAGTCTTAAACCTTTCAAGTTTGTCAAGTGAGTCATAAACCTTTTCACTTCTTGCCAATTGAGTCCATCCGGCCAATTTTGGCCTCCCAGAGCTGACATGGACGCCAGCCGGTGCCAGTCATCCGGCCAATGCTGACATGGCAATTTTTTTAAATATTTTTTTTGAACTTTTTTTCTAGCCTTCTTCCCCTCTGACCGGTCTCCGAACCGGCCAGACCTTGCTAGCCTCTGGGGAAGCTCGCCCTCGCTAGCCACTAGTGAAGGCGAACCTCGCTCGCCCAACCAAGGTGAGGCCAACCTCGCCGTCACTGGACCTCACCCTCGCCGGCCAGAGGGCAAGAAGGTCAAAAAAAAAATTAAAAAAATTTGAAAAAATATTAAAATTTTTAAAATTTTGCCACGTCAGCTCCGGGCGGCCAAAATTGGCCAGATGGATTCAATTGGCAATAAGTGAAAAGGTTTAGGACTCAATTGGTAAACTTGAAAGGTTTAGAACTGAATTGGCAAAAGTGCAATAGGTTTATGACTTTTTGGATAATTTTCCCTATGAATTCCATAGTTATAGTTTACTTACTAATGCCCTTTGATACACTTATTGACAAGACCCCTTTTTAAAATTCGCACAATTGATCTAACAAAACCACACGTCCCTTCTTCCGAATTGCATTGCAGTTTCATCTACTTGATCATATTAGTTATTGTGACACTTACATTAGGTTTCACAAATCAAAGATGGCATGTCCCTTTGTGCATTGTAGTCTATGACCCTAAATTCTAAAATTATATAATGAATATTAACAAGATCACGCCAAACATCCGCGCGATCAGGTTTAGGATTTAGGACTAAATTGGTTGTCGTACAATAGACTTAAAACTAAATTGGCATAATTAAAAGGCTTAGGATTGAATTGGTCATCGTACAATAAATTTAGGACTTTTTGGACAATTATCCCTAAGCTTGAACTTGTGTATGGAGTGATAATAAGCTTATATGCAAATGCAAATGCTTTCATAGACCTCTAGCATTGTCGTGTGATTTCTTTCCCCATGGGACAACACCATTCTTAGCTGATCCCAACTTTATTTCAACATTGGGAAGCATTAATGGTAATCTAAATCTTATCCAGAAGATCTGACCAAAAAACAGAAAATCTTATCCAGAAGTTTTAATTCTTCAGCCTTCACAGAGTTACCTTATCCTCGACTAGCTATCTACTCGTGTGGAGTTTCTTGATTAGTTAAGAATCCAGAGAGAACTTTTCTTGTCTTTAAAAGAAAATCTAAATTGGTCCTACTGGTGTTTTCAGAAGTAAATCTCAAAGGAATCTCCGTACTTTTTTGTTGTTAAATGTACAAATATCAGCAGGTCAAAGAAAAGTAAGCACACGTCAAGCATCCATAAATTCGATTCGTACACCAAACAAAACAATTAAAAAACAATTCCACTTATGAAGGATAAATTACGCGTAACACGAGAGCAGCTTGCATATTAAAAACTGTACCATTTCTTCTGTAGTTATAGTTACTTACTAATGCCCTTTGATACACTTATTGACGGAATCCCTTTTTAAAATGGTCGCAATTGGTCTAACGAAACCACATGACCCTTCCTGCAAACTGCGCTGCAATTTCATATACTCGATCATATTAGTTATTACAAACACTTACATTAGGTTTCGCAAATAAAAAATCGCATGAACCTCCCTGAAATTCTAAAATTATATAACAAATATTAACAAAATCACGCCGGACATCCGGCGATCAGCGGCGGCCTTCCTCCGGTCCATCCCGACGATCCGCTCTGTGCTTTTTCGAGCTGGAAAAACGATAGTAAACCAAAGAGGAGCCGATAGGAGTTGGTGCCAAGTCAGTGTTTGGAGCGTTGGTAGGTGCATGGGGTGGGTGGGACGCACTTAATGCAAGAGGATAAGTATTATAAAAGATCAATTTGGGTCATAGGTTATAACCATATGTTTCCATAAACATCAAGAAGAAAGCAAACGTGAGTCTCCTTTCTCTTTCTTTCTTCTTTTTCCTTCTTTGCTAGTCTCTTGTTTGAGGTTTCTTCTTCCCTTTTTTCACTTCTTTCCCACTCTCCCTCTTCTTACTTTTCTCACCTATTCTTATCTCTCCTCCAAACTATAAAAATTCCAATCCGGGGTACAATTTACGGATCAAAATTTACAAAAAATGAACCCTCCGGATAGAATTGAATCGAGAATTTCAGTCCAATTTGACAGTTTATACTGAATTGTGCTTAGCCATGATATGGCCTAGCCTCAAAAACTTCGGGCTGATTTCTCAAATTCCATGTTAAGGTGTAACCAATCTTTTCAGATTTTTACTTCCTAAAAGTCCCACCAACTTATTATGATAAAGCCCAAAGGCTAATTATCTAAGTCCATTTAAGATTAGGAGTATAACTAGGGAAGCACGGCTCGATTTGGATAAAATAAAAAATCGAACTGGACTGAAATAGCATAATTTGGGAAAGTACGAAATCGAACCAAAGGGTGTGAAACCGAACTAAATCAATTTGACAATTCCACCTCAGCTCGCTCTGAAACCGAACCGAACCGAACTAACTAGTGGGCAAAGGATTCATAAAAATCAAGAAGAGGGCACCGTGGGGCGCCTCTCTCTTTCCTTCTACATTGATTTCACCTGAGATAAAAACGGAGTAACACATGTACAGAAGCACGCACGAGCTTGGCTTATATAAGACGAAGTTGTACGAGAATGTCGTGGCATCGCGCCGGTTCTTGATTCGACCCACGGTTCTTGATTCGACTTGTGTGATGCACGGCAATGTCTGGATCGGGTACGCAAGTGGGATCCCCTCTGAATCTTTGCGGGCCCCGAGCTCCGATTCTTCAGCTGACCCTTTTCGCCGACCAGGACCACCGCCGATGCTGCGCTGCGCACCACCTGCCTCGCCTCATTTTCCGAGTATTTTAAGCCCGGTGAGGAGGAGTTACACGCCACTCCACTCCGAATTGCATAAAGGAGGACGCTTTTTCGACTTCAAGAGAGAGAGAGAGGGGTTTATCTGAGAGATGGGAAGGAGAGAAATGGAGTGGTTTAGGTCGATGCCGAAGGTGGAGTTGCATGCCCACCTCAATGGGTCCATCAGAGACTCCACGATCTTGTGAGTCTGGCTTTCTGGGTTCCTGGGTTTTTCTTTTTTTGTATGCCCTCCATGTGTTTGATGCAGTGCCTGACAGAGTACCGAGTTCGAGCTCCGGACTGCCCTGGCGGGTGTTCCCCTACTGTGTTTTCGAAGCTGTGTTTTGATTGTTGTTGTTGTCGAGGAGTATTGATCTTGGTTTCGCACTTGCAGAGAGCTAGCTAGAGATTTGGGTCAGAAGGGTGTCGTTGCTTTCTTGGACGTGGAGCACGTTATCATGAAAAGTATGCATTCTAGTCTGTTCTCACGTGCTTTTCTCTGCTTTGGTGCTGTGGACCAGGAGGGAATAGAGTCAAAATTTGAACTTTGAATTTTCGAGTAAAGCCCATTATCAGGAAATTTTCCTTTTTTATCCGTGAATTCAGCGAAAGATTTACGGAGTGATGTGACTAGGTAGAGCACCTTGTGCTGAATATGTTACAATGTTATGGGAATTTGACAGAAAAAGCAATTGAAAGAATGCTATTCAATATAAATTCAAAAGGCCAGAGACCAATAAGACTGATTGAACCATACTGTTCACTGCCATAGTATAAGCATAACATGAACTACAACTGCTTTTGTGTAAAGCACATTGAAAATGCAGGAGAGTCCACGCCCATGTACTCGTATCCATGGTCTCAGTGCACCTTTCTCTGACGTTTTCTTTCTTAGAAGTTGCACCCGTTAGTGGACATGGAATGCGCTCTTGTTTCCTAAGAAGGAAGCTATAGCAACAAAAGCTTATTGTGTAAGCACATTGAAAATGCAGGAGAGTCCACGCCCATGTACTCGTATCCATGGTCTCAGTGCACCTTTCTCTGACGTTTTCTTTCTTAGAAGTTGCACCCGTTAGTGGACATGGAATGCGCTCTTGTTTCCTAAGAAGGAAGCTATAGCAACAAAAGCAAAGTCTAACATTAAATCTGGTCCCATTTGCGATGTCTGTCGTCTACAGCCTTAACTGATTATTGGATATATTAACATCATTTCTTTTTTCTGAATTTCTTTGTGGTTTAGATGATCGTTCTTTGGTTGAAGTGTTCAAAATGTTTGATCTCATTCATGTTATTACAACCGAGCACTCTACCATCACGAGGATTACCAAAGAAGTAAGACCATTTGGCCCTACCGCGTAATCTGTTGCTTCAGATAACCGCATTTTTCCTCCATCTTGTTCCTGACAGGTTATTGAAGATTTTGCTTCTGACAACGTGGTCTACTTAGAGTTAAGAACAACTCCAAAGGTGCTTATATTGTACTTCAGTTCCTTTTTCTCTCATCTTCCAGGAATGACATATTAAATGATTATTATACGGAGGAAGTTACTGAACATCTTCAATCTGTAAAGAAAAATGATTCCATAGGAATGAGCAAGCGCTCTTACATGGAAGCAGTGATTCAAGGTTTGAGAGCCGTCGCCAGCGTCGATGTCCATTTTGTCCCTCGGACTGAACAAGCAGCAAGTTCCTTAAATTCTCAATCTATTGAGAATTCTTTCAATGGATCTGCTAAAAAAAAGATTTATGTTAGACTTCTTCTCAGCATTGACCGCCGTGAGACCACCATTGCTGCATTGGAAACTGTATGTTCTAGAGTCTTGTGCTCTTTGAGGTGAAGTTACTCATTTTAGCATCATATTGCTTTGCAAGGAGGTCTTAGATGCAATCAGCTTTTGTAGGTTGAGCTTGCACTGGAAATGAGGGATCTAGGAGTAGTCGGTGTAGATCTTTCCGGGAACCCCACTGTAGGAGAATGGTAATTGTTTATGAGAACGGTTTGAAGCTAACAAGTTTCTTTCTGGTTTTGCATTTTTCTTGTGACATATAAGTGGCCCTGTCATGACTGGCTTTTTATTATCAGGGATACCTTTGTCCCAGCACTAAGTTTTGCGAGGCAGCATGACCTCAGAGTAACTCTTCATTGTGGAGAGGTGCATTTGTTTTTCTAATTCCTGTCCTGTTTATGAACTTGTCTCCTTTTCTCTTTCCACAATTAACATTTAACAGTCTCCGACAAGTTGCTTTTGTATCTTAGTGGTATTAGATACCTAATCGGAAGGAGATCCAACAAATGCTGGACTTTGTTCCTGAAAGAATAGGGCATGCTTGCTGCTTCTGTGAGGAAGACTGGAGGAAGTTGAAGGCTCTCAACATTCCAGTGAGATCCTCAGAACCACTCAGTTTGAATATGACAGAATGAGCTTCATTTTTCAATGAGCTCTTAGTGGTACTTTTAACTTTTGTAGGTAGAAATTTGCTTGACTTCCAACATCGTGACTCAATCTATTTCTTCCATAGATGTGCACCATTTCGGTAAGTTTCGAGCCTCTTTGTAAACTAATAAAATGTTCATCAAGTTCTTGTAAGAATCTAGCTTGTATTGAGTGTGTTTCTCATTGCATGCTTGCTTCGAAAACATTTCTTATGGCAATTGTAAGCACGAGCATCTCTTATTTGTATATCATAGCATTGAGTGCTTGTTCGTGCAGCTCATCTATACAGGGCACAACACCCTATAGCCTTATGCACCGATGACACAGGTGTCTTTTCCACTAGCCTTTCACAGGAATATAGCCTGGCATCTTCCACATTCGGTGCGTACAATCTCAACCGTGCTTTTAACAAAGAATTAAGACCATACCTAACGTTTGCTTTATATCTGAAAGGTATTGAGAAGGTGGACATTTTCAATTTAGCATCCAAAGCGATTTCGCTCGCATTTGCCGATCTCGAAGTGAAGGACGAAGTGAGAAAGATTTTTTCGTCTTCCAAGGGCCAGCTTTCTTACATGGATCGGATTGATCCGTGATCTCTGCATATGCGGGACGGCTCTAAGCTCTAATATCAGAGTCCATCTATGTTTAGAATGGATTGAACCCTGTAGGATGTTTAGCTATAAATCTTTAATAACTGTTGCAGGACAATGCCATTTGATCTTTAAGATGCCTTATATTAGCTTATAAACAGTCTCTCTTTTCTTTTGTCTTGGTTTCTCTGGTATTATCATTTCAATTTCAGCAAATTGATGAATCGGATTAAACATGGATCATACCATGCAGCCACGGCAGCGATTAAGGGGTTGGTGGTAGAAATACTTTCTCAAACTGAACATTTCATCATTTGTCTGTTGGGATCAATGAGTTGCAGGGTGAGCTGCACAATTTAGTCAATGAAGAAGGAGCATCAATCCATATGATTAAGTGTGGAGTGAATTATTCCCATCGCTATGGTTAAGGGACCTTTATCAATTGCAGGCCTACAGGGTATGAAAATTCAGGGTTCCCAAAGAATCATGCCTATTCTAAAGTGAAGATGTTCCACATGATGAAGCCGAAAGCACCATAAACAATGAAAAGAAACAGTAGTGACAGAGACAAAACCCCACCCATAGGACAATGATTTTCTCTCCCTTACTATTCAATTTTTCCTTCTTTAAATGATTTATCTTTCACCAACTAATGGCAATGAAATCTTCCTCCTCCCTTTCTTTTTCTCATCCCAAGACTGTGATGGGAAGACAAGAAGTTTTACCAAACAGGGCAAAATGACTTGGATACCAATCGAGCCAAGAGAGAGATTTGTTCCTCCGTTTAGCCTCCATTTGTGACCAAAGAGAAAATGTGAGACGGATGGCTACGTAATATCGGTGCTAGTGTTAGTGACCCTCGAATATTGTAACCGGAATGCGACCGAAAATCAACTCGGAATGCGACCGGAAATTACTTGTGATTTTCTATGAAATTACCAACTCGAGAAGAAAAAGGGACTATGGGTTTAGAATTCACAAGGGCGCCAAAATATTTTAACCGGGAAACATGGATGCTCTGATTGAAAACGCAAGACATAATGAGCTAAAGGTCCAAAAATTATAGAATCTCATAATGACAATGCAAGCAAAAAAGCATAAAAGCACCAAACAGGAACAATCTATCTGCCAACCCTGGACAAAGACCTTGGATCTTCACCACTTTTCTTCCTCCACACTCCCAAAGTCATCAGATGCAAATATAAAGCACAACACAAAAAAGGGTTCTATTCACTCTCCAGCTCCACCTAAGATCGTCCGGATATGGCCTCGGCGGCTCCGGTCGCGATTGGTACGCGGGGCACGGTAGGCTCACTCGTGAGGAAGGAAATCGAGTACTTCAGCAAGGTCCGCGGCGATACTAGTTCGCAGGTGGAAGAGGCTGCTTCGAGGAGGGGGTATTTCAGACTCGGTTTTCGGTTCTTCGCAACACCGTGGAGGAGGAAGAAGCAGCTCGTGCCGAGGATATGCTCGGTCGTGGAAGTCGCGGAGAGGAACTACGGGGTGAGGAGTGAAATCCCAGGTTTCCATTACAGGGTGCTCAAGAATGAATTGTAAGGAGACAAAAGAGGCCAAATTCAGGAGAACGGTTTCAAGCCAAAGCCCAGTCACTTCATCAAGCTGCGAGCAAGTTAAAAGAAAGCCACCATCACTTTGTTCTTGGGTGAACTCACTTTGGATTTTCTGATCCAAAACCATTCTTCTTGTCTTCCTATTTCAGAAAGTCATCACTTCATTCACATGACTTTAGTAGGATCTTGCTGCTTGTATAGCTATTTCACAAACACTTTGATTTGTTTTCTGAAGTGTCGACCCCAGCAGGTCGGGATTGCTTCTCTTGAGATTCGATTCGATTCGATCCAAGCTGATCCTAGCCCTCGATTCTGCCTGTCGATCCAGTGGTTGGTGTTTATGGCTGTGACATTAGAATATCGACATGATAAGAGCTTGTGATGCGTCTGTATACAAATTAAAAGGGTCAATTACAATTGAGAATTATATCACGATAACAAAGATAGATTACGACGGCTTTACATCTTATTTTTCTTTCTCAGTTACGGTTTTATTTTCATTTTGTATAGTGAGACAAACAACACATTTATCCATGTAGCTAGTGACTTAAAGTATCCACATATCAAGTCATTATACTCGGTAAGCTTTTCCACTTCATCTAATAGTTGTCGTATTGAAAAGATGACCTTTCAGGAACTAGTAATATCTTCATGTCATTAGTGATTCTCCATGAGCAAAATTGAATTCTTGAGTCCTAAAAAATCTTAGGAAATTTGTAGAAACCCGATCGTCCATCTGAGAATGTATCTTGTGATTGGTAATCGTAAATGGTATGTTCTGAATGTGGTGGTAATCACAAGCTCTGAGAATTGTCTAGGTGTAGTAGTGATGGGGTCGAGGCAAAGATCTTGCCCAAATACGAGGACAAAATTTGACTAATTATGTCCATTAATTATGTGAATCCGACCATTTATGACTCCGTGAAATATCTTTCGAAAATAAACAAGTTCGATCGACAAAGGTTTTGGGAGTCCTCCGTTTGATTCTCGATCGGAAAGTTAATGACAAGAAATTTTAAGATGTGAATATTGGAACTATCGTGGACAACAATGTAAATTACACTGGAAATGTAAAATGTGCCGAAAATCGAGATGAACAAGATGTGTTCTTCGAATTGATTGAGCAAGTCCTTCACAGAGAGTACACTTGCGTTTGGTACTCCGAATTTAAATCCGGGCAGGATAAGTCGTTATCCTATCTGGTATTTGAACCCGGATATGTCCGGACAAAATGTCCGATAAGAAATTAAAAGAGAGGCTAGAATAAAGCCGGATTGGGATAAGAAAAATTTAACAAAGTGAGAATGTTAAGAGTTTTGTAGAGATTAGGAAGCCCTTGCATAAGTATCGCGGTTTTTACTCCTTTATCTTGGTAAGTTCGTCTTTTAATGACATGACTCTTTGTAGAGCACTTATAAGGTATTTATAAAGCGAGGTGATGATGACGATGGTGATGGTGTTATTGAAAATCTTCGGCATCGCCGATAACCCAGACCTCGATTTACTGTAAGGCGACGTAAAGGCAATGCTAGTGATCGCTTGAAATCCTCCCTCCCAAGGTATTTATAAGCGAGGTGATGATGGTGATGGTGTTACTGTAAATCTTCGGCATTGCCGATAACCCAGACCTCGATTACTGTAAGGCGACGTAAAGGCGATGCTAGTGGTCGCTTGAAATCCCCCCCCCCCTCCCCCCCCCCCTTGTGTTTGGATTTGTGTCATCGAGCAAAGAAGACACTGGTGGTGGTATGCTTCAACCGTGGCGACCATGGCGGCAGCGGTGGCTGCAATCCCAAGATCTGGGGTTTTCCATTGTCAATTTTTTTAATTTAATTGAATTTTTTTTATTTACTTTCCGATCTTATATCGAAGTGCACTAAATACTTGATAAAATTACGTATACGTTACTATTCGAGAGATTATTTACCCCTATCCAATGGTATCATAATCCTTATCATACCACCAAAATGCAACCGCCTAAGGTATTTATAACCAACAATCTACGGTTACGCAAACATTTATATAACCCCTTAATCCCATCCACATTTACAGTAAATTTCAAACAACAGACACCATGACTCTGTCATTAATTGCAATATATCTCAACAACACTAGGCCAAAATCAGGAACTGTCCAACCGTACTCGATTGGTCAACTTCTCTCGGGTCTTGATGAAGGCTCTATTCGATAGCTTTCACATCGCATGCCAAATGACTTCAACAGCGAGTTGCCGGTTCCCATGCTTCGACCCACGAGGCTTTGCTAACCACTTCTGGGTCAATTTTTTTTTTGGGAAAAAAATCACCAAAAACCCCAAACTTTTTTACTTGTGACACATTTACCTCAAACTTTTTTTTAGCGACACCAAAAACCCCAAACTGGCCCTCGCCGGAAAGAAAAAAAAAGTAAAAAGAAAAAGAAAAAGCTAAAAAGACGAAAATGCCCATGGATAATGTATATTGGGGTAAATGTGTCACAAATAAAAAAGTTTGGGGTTTTTGGTGTCACTAAAAAAAAGTTCGGGGTAAATGTGTCACAAATAAAAAAATTTAGGGTTTTTGGTGATTTTTTACCGTGTTTTTTTGGGTGTCGGCCGTCCCCCGAAACATAAGGTGGTGTTTTGCATCCCAAGGGGCAAAGAATTTCCAGATGCAAAACCCGTGCGAGCCACCCGCGCCGACAGCCCGCCACGTGGCACCGCGACGGGGTCGCGCGCCGTCCTAAACCTCCGCAAAAAAACCTAAGTCCCCGTCTTCGTCTTCAACCTCGGCCAAGTCCTCCTCCTCCTCCTCCTCCTCCACATTCCATGTCGGCTCCCTCTGCTCGACGCGGACCATGACGATCTACAGCAGGTCGCTGCGATCCCTGATCGCCAGAAGCCCCAGGAATTCCCGAACCTTCCTCGCCGCCGCCGCCGCCACAACCGCCGCCCCCGCCGGCGCCTCCTCCTCCTACGCGGTCCCGTCTCCGTTCACGCCGCTCTTCATCAACCCCTTCCTCCACTCCAGCTTCCCCAACAGGTTCCTCTCTCCCCTCTCGAAATGGATGATCGCGCGGCCCCCCCAGGGCCCGCTGTTCCTGTCCCTGCCCCCGTGGAAGCTCTCGCAGTCGGCGACGCCGCTCCATCTCCGGAGCGGCGGCGGCGGCGGCGGCGTCGTCCTGCGGAAGGTCGAGGCCTTGAATTTGAAGCTCGATTCGCTTCGCCGGGGGCGAAGGGTCGAGGCCGCGGCCGGAATCGGGGCGGTGGCTTTGGAGCCGAAGTTGGTGGATCGGGGCGCGTCGGAGGAGAGGTCGAGCGAGGGTTTCGTGGATGGGTTTGTGAATTTGCCCAATTTGATCTCCATAAGCCGTCTCGTTTCGGGTCCTTTGCTTGGATGGTGAGCTTTGTTTAACTGTTTGAATTGATCTGTTATGCGAAAAGCTTTGATTTTTATCATATGGTAGGATTTGTTCGAATTGTTATGGAGTATATCTTACTTTGCTTAGCAGGGAGACTTATAGCCCCACCTCCCTTCGAAAAATAGAAGAGAAATGAGTTCACTTAACTTGGAAGTTCGAGTTCATGCTGTCCTGCAGCACTTGCCAAGTGCTAATTTGCATCAGAGCAAAACCTATTTTGCAGAGCCATTTCATTACTGAGTTCTTTACACCGGTTGTGTTAAAAAGTTTGATAAAATGACTAGAGTGTTGCACCCATATCATGCAATCTCGAGTGAGTACTTCAAAACACTTTTGGACATAACCAGTGTGAGTAATTGTCCTTAGGTAGTCGTATTGACGAAAGTTCTTAGTGAAGAATGTCAAAGTTTGAAAGGAGGGTCTAAAATATCGTTTCTGGCAAAATTCGGCGTGTTTTACCGTTCTTGTTACTTCCTCAATGTGCTGCTTCAAATGTGTTTAATTCTCTCACTTTTGGTGTTCCACTGAAAAACCCCTTATGCAGGATGATCGTGAATGAATGGTATGCTGCCGCATTTGTGGGGTTGGCTGTCTCTGGAGCAACTGATTGGGTTAGTTGCTGATCTTCGCTCTCTTCTGAAGCGCATTTATTAAAAAATAACGATAGTGCTTTATTAATTCCCCTTTATTTTCTTCCCCTCGTTTTGTTTCCTTGTTTGGGCATTTCAGCTAGATGGGTATGTGGCTAGGAAGATGAATATAAATTCAGTTGTGGGTTCCTATCTTGACCCACTTGCTGACAAGGTATAGTTGCAAGAGTCTCTTGTATTATTGTGTTCCATTCTTCATGAGGAATTCTTTTTGTTGGTTGTGATTGGTTTAAGATTGTTTTTGTTACTTCTACAGGTTCTAATTGGTTGTGTTGCACTGGCTATGGTACATAATGATCTTCTGCCCAGTGAGTAGTTTGCTTGCATCTTCATTGCATTGATGTGGATAAAAAGCTGCATATATATATATATATATATATATATATATATATATAGAGAGAGAGAGAGAGAGAGAGAGAGAGAGAGAGAGAGAGAGAGAGAGAGAGAGAGAGAGAGAGAGAGAGAAAGGAGAAGTTAGACCACCACGTTTAAGCAGGCTGAATGCATGAAAGGATCTCCCTAACGTAACTTAAAAGAACTTAAGCACACTCTGTCCCGAGACAGTTAATAGCAGAAAGTGACCCATGCATGTATTCATCCATGCCACCAAGATTTTTTTATTTATTTTGTTTGTATGGTGATCAAACCAAAAGCAGTAGTAAGTAAACTACATTTGGTTTCTGGATGCAGCTGAACTTGTTGGACTGGTTGTGTTGCGAGACGTCTTTCTTGTTGGTGGAGCGATGTACAAAAGAGCTAGCGACTTAGGTTGGCAGGTAAGGGTATCAACGTAAATATAGAGCATCTGAGCTCAATCTGTATGCGCTAATTGTGTGTTCTTTGACTTTGCGAAATCTTTTTCCTAGTGGGCAAGTTGGTCTGATTTCTTCAACCTCAATGGGCCTCATCGAGAAAAGGTTGAACCTCTCTTTCTCAGCAAGGTATGTGTTTTTTTCTTCGAAGTATTCTCATGACACACTTCAACCTGTCCTGATGTGTTGATTTTGGTTGTCTGGTATAGTCGTCGTTGGCACTTTGCTTGAATTTGATTTTAATGCATTTTCCGCTTTTTGGTTTTTTCCTTTCTTGGTCAGATCTGTTTTTGCGTTGAAACCCCCTTTTGGATTACAATAAGTGTTCTTGTGGCTCTCATTTGCAGACATAGTAAAATGATGTAGATGATTTTATGTTTGATCGAGTGGAGTCTCATGTAATAGCTCATGACTCTCTCGTCTTTCTACTTTTTTTGAGAACTTTTATTCATGCTCATTCACGTATGACTGAACATAAGCTCTTGAATCTCATATTCCATATTAAGAGTGTTGAAAAGAATGATTTATCTTCTTGTGCGGGAAATCTGCTTCATTTAGGAATTGGAGGGGCTCCATGGTTTTCATTATCCTGTACATCTATCACTTGCGGGAACCAATATAAGCGGAAGTTCTGTCACTGCAATGTGACTTAACCCAGAAAAGGGGCCTAGCCTCTTTTATAGCTATAACCCAGGTTCTGTCAGGACAGTGAAACAGTTGTTGAAGTCTGACCGTCATGCCAATTGTTGTGCTTCATTTATTTTACTTCTTTGGTTAACTGAAGCTAAGATTTGCTTATGGATCTCAACTTAAAAGACAGTATATAGAGTTACATCTATCTGTAGCAAACAGTTTGACAGTTTTTGATACTGTTGTGTCGTAGTATTCCCCATGTTCACTTATATTGTCTACAGGTAAATACGGTTTTCCAATTGGTTCTGGTTGCTGCCGCCCTCTTGCAACCCGAATTTGGAACCCAAGAAACTCAATCATACATTACATACTTGAGGTAAATTTGTTCTAGAAACTCCATTAATTCTAATTCCACTCAGAGGTCTTTTCGCTGAAAAGTAAGCCTCGTTGGCGACCTTCTGCAGCTGGTTGGTGGCGTCTACGACAATTGCGTCCACCGCAGCATACGGTGTGCAGCACGTGAGAAGATCCACATCCGTCCTAAGAAATCGCTAGGCCTAATTTCTCTCTACATGACTTCAGAGATGGTGTACATAACTCAGAGTCGGCAATTTCTGCAATATCTTTGATCTTTCGAATAAGGGATTGCAGCCTCTATTCAGAATTCCGATTTGCCAAAGAAAGATGATCAATGGCTAGCCATGGAAATCTTGGCACGCGAAAACAGCGGCCAAAAAGAGGGAAGTGCAATTATCAGACGAATGGATTCCCCCTCTCTTTCCATGAGATCATCTTCTTGCGGGATTCTCCACTCGTGCACATGGGCATGTGTACAAAACGGACTGTATCAGGAAGACATTCTGAGACCAGAGCATTTTAATCTTGTGAACTTTTCCATCAATGCCATGACTGTCCATGGCAAAGTTGCGTCCCTAGGGGGTTTGCCCCTGCAGACATGTCTTTGGACGTTTTGTGTATGTTGGTAAGGACATCATGCGTCCTGTTCTCTCTCATTTTTGCTCGATTCTATGTATCGTCAAACAAAGAAATTCGAGCTCGACGGCCACCATGCCGTCGTTACTCCTGTTCATTGCAGATGATGACAGTTTTTGGTTGGGAAAAAATCTGTGTAGTTCTTGATGATGCTGCTCGTCAAAGATGAGTTATAATGAGACCCAACATAACTCAGGCCACAAGTTTTTATAAACCTTATGGAAGAACAAAATTTGCTAGAGAAGGAAAATCTTCTGCAATGATTGATAGTCAGCAATTGCTGATAAATTCCAAGGATGTACAAAAAAAATCGAGAATTGCCCGGAATCGAACCGAGTTGGCTCCGATCATTGCGCGCCCCTAATAAATTCTTTCCCCGCTCGTGACGTGCTGTCATGTTATCTGTACTTTTCAAGCTGGTGGAGTAAAAAGTTCAAAATTGCACATCATTGGACAGTCCTCCTTTCCACGTGGATTTTGAGACCCGTCTTGGAATTCCGCTTACGTTTTGGGTCTCTTTCGTTCAGCAGAAAAAATCTGTTTTGTCAAAATTACTTTTTCTGTTTTCCAAATCTTTAGTGCGGTTTCGTTTCAGGAAAGAATTTTCTTTCACTTTTGATAAGCGAGAATTTTCTCGCACCTACGCAAATTTCATGTTCAATTGCTAAACAATTTCCTTTGAAACAAATGAAATGCCCCCGTGGCAGCTATATTTGCAGTTCGTTATGCATGATTCTGCGTCGTAATTTGTATTAAGGAAAATTTCAAATAGGGCGCTGAAGTGAGACGACTTTCTCCGAGCATTCCCAGAATGGACATTAGCTAAAATAAGATCCTAAAATGACCATTTTAATTTCGAAATCATCCCAACTTATCGGTCGGCCAACGAGTATTTGTGAGTTACGGGCAACTCTGTTAGGACATTTCCGTATCAAATGTTATGATTTAACGCAATTGCACGTGCCGCTCATGCGCACTCACTTGCAATTGGGTCAATATTACCCAAAGCCCTAAATATTGAAGGCTAAAAGCATTTGTTGATTCCATAAGATCCGCAGAGAAGAGGGAGAAGGACCGCCATTTTCAGTTACTTTTATTCGTTGCAACAAATGAAAAAAGCTCAAGAACATGGCGGAAGAAGAAGATGTTGATAACGAGACGTGGACCTCGCTCTTGGAACGCCACCCTTAGATCCGTCGATATCTCCCGATCTAGGTCCTTCAGCCACGCAAGGCCGTCGAGCCCGGCTGCGAATAGCCCTGCTTTGAGGCGGTGCTTGCGGGTGAGTGATTTGAGGGTTGGGTTGATCACAATGAAGGCCACGATTTGGTGTGGAAAAAATCAAAAGAACTCGAAGAACCCTAGCTTCATCGGGTCGAAAAGTGCCCCGACACAATCGTGCGTGCTGGCCGGCCGACGAGTTGAGGACGTGTTCCGATACTTAAGTCGACCATTTCAGGACCTTACTCGAGACGGAATCCGCTTTGGCATATCCCTATTGGAATTTTTCGGCGCTGTTGTATCATTCAATTGAAGTGACAACCTAAGATAATGTAAAGAATTTCGGTCTGCAAGCCTCTCTGTCTATCTTAGTATTATATGACAATAGCCCCTAAACTTATCCAATTCGCATTTGATAATGTATCACAATGTCCGCAAATCAACTAGAAGAGAAGATTGAGGTTACGTGGCAAACCTATCGATACTCAAAACCAAAAGCTAAATTGAATTGATTAGGTTGGTGTCCCCATCGAATCATAGATACTTGGAGCAAGCAAAGAAGCATCACTCTAACCGTTAAGTCCTTCACTAATCAATTTTTGCACATATTGACTCGTGGATTAGAGATATCCGTAACACGGGAAAAACGGTGTTCTCTCGAACCCAAGTCACCCAAACGCCATAATAAAGATGCACGAAGGCCGCGCGTCGGGGTCTCGCTCCTCTTCTCAATCGGCGAACGAGGCTGAGCTCTCATCGAGCCACGAAAAGAAAAAAAGGGGGAAAATACCAAAAAAAAGTCATAAATCTATTGCACTTGTTCTAATTTAGTCTTAAAGCTTTCAATTGTACCAGTCGAGTCCTAAATCTTTTGATGATTTGTCAATATAATCCATCCGGTCAATTTTGGTCGGAAATCGCTGACATGGACACTAGTCATTGACATAACCGGCACTGAAGTGGAGAAAAATTAAAATTTTTGAATATTTTTCTTCTTTCTTTTCTTTTCTCTTTTCTTTCTTTCTTTGTTTTTTTCACAACTCTAGGTTGCACGAGCTCACTGGCCACGTACGAGGATGTTGGCCCTCACCAAGATCCAACTGAGGGCTGCGATGCCCTCGCCCAAACCAAGTGAAAGTTGGCCAACGACCTCGCTGGCCCACAATTGGGAAAAAAAAAAGAAAAGAAAGAAGGAAAGAAAAAAGAAAAAAGTAATAAAAAATTTAAAAAAAATTATCCACGTCAGCACTGACTAGGCAATGCGAAGTAAGACGACTAATGTCCATATCAGCAATTTCCGACTAAAATTGACCAGATGGATCACATTGACAAATCGTTAACAATTTTATGACTGAATTAGCACAATTTAAAGGTTCAGGACTGAATCGGTACCACTGCAACAGGTTTAAGATTTTTTCGGTACTTTTCCCCAGAGAAAAAAGCCGTCTCTCGTGCGAGCGAACGGAGGGACCGCTAAAGTAGCAATCTTTGCTCTAAAGAAAAGGATCTCCTAATCCGATTATTTGCCAATAACCATCAATTTCCTTCTATGGCCAAAACAAGCCAAGACCCAGATGACCCGTTTGCCCCAAAAGGAAGGCAGACATGCCGAGCTACAAAATTAGGTGGCTTAACACAATTTCTTGCATGGCGGACCAAATCGTGGTCCACCAACCATCGTGCAACATCGCTGTAATTCCAATGGCCACGTTCGATTGCTGGTGTTGTTGCTGCTGCGGTGGTAGGTTGCTACGGACCCTCCAAAATCACGTGATCGAGAAATTAGAGCTCGAGCGGCTCGACTTTTCGCGGGTCGCCGCACCCACCGAACGTCCCACCAAGGTCTGCTCCGATTGGTCCTTTCGGATCGGACCATTTGCCGCCAAAACATTGCGGTGGAGGAAGGTGAGATTGGACATGGGGAGCTCGAAACAGTTTTTATGGTTGGAGACAACTCTCGGATGGATGGCAAAGTCAACTCCCTTGACCGCTTGGTGACAACTTTTGTGGAGTTCGTGATTATTGTAGGGTAACGGCCTTTCTTGATTTGTTTTTTTTGAAGAGAAACCTGAATTAAAGATGTGCCGATCGCGGCATTGCTAGGTTCGTAGTCGAGAGAGTACGCACATGAGAAGATCATCTGATTATTGAGTGGTCTCTTTCTACTCTTTTGGAGAAATTCTGTTCGTGCTGATTCTTGTATGACTGAAGATAAGCTCTTGAATCTCATTCTCCATATTAAGAGCGGTGATAAGAATAATTTATCTTCTTTGTTGCTGAAGCCTGACTGTCGTGCCAGTTGTTGTGCTTCGTTTATTGTTGTTCTTTGGTCAACTGAAGGTAAGAATTACTTATGGATCTCAGTCTCAAAGACAGTAGATAGAGTTACATAGATATGTAGCAAAAGGTTTGACAGTGTTTCAAATGCTGTTGTTCTGTCCTAGTATTCCTCACAGTCGCTCGTATTGTCTACAGGTAAATACGGTTTTCCAATTGGATCTAGTTGCTGCCGCCCTCTTGCAACCTGAATTTGGAACCCCAGAAAGTCAAACCGTACATTACATGCTCGAGGTGAATTTGTCCTAGAAACTCCATTAATTCTAATTCCACTCAGAGGTGTTTTCGGCTGAAAAGTAAGCCTCGTTGGCGACCTTTTGCAGCTGGTCAGTGGCGTCTACGACAGTTGCGTCCACCGCAGCATACGGTGTGCAGCACGTGAGAAGATCCACATCCATCCTAAGAAATCGCTAGGCCTAATTTCTCTCTACATTGACTTCAGAGATGGTGTACATAACTCAAGAGTCGGCAATTTCTGCAATATCTTAGATCTTTCGAGTAAGGGATTGCAGCCTCTATTCAGAATTCCGATTTGCCAAAGAAAGATGATCAATGGCTAGCCATGGAAATCTTGGCACGCGAAAAAGAGGGAATTGCGGTTATCAGACGAATGGATTCCGCCGCTCCTTCCATGAGATCATCTTCTCACGGGAATTTTGATTCTTGCATGTGGGCATGATGTGTACAAAAGCGGACTGTATCAGGAGGTCATTCAGAGACCAGAGCATTTTAATCTTGTGAACTTTTCCAATCAATGCCATAACTTTCCATGGCAAAGCTGCGTCCCTAGGGGCTTGCCCCTGCAGACATTGTCTTCTGGACGTTTTGTATATGTCCGCAAGGACATCATGCCTCTTGTTCTCTCCCATTTTTACTCGATTCTATGTATCTTCAACAAAGAAGTTCGAGCTCGATGCGCAACCCGCCGTCGTACATACATTGCGAAATGTAAGAAGCATGAAGACAGTTTTCGGTTCGAGACATCCGGATGGCTCCTGATGATGCAGCTTGGTATTGCGAGTGGGGAAGGCCTGCTGCTGAATCACAGTGATATCAGCGATTGCTGATAAATTCTTCCCCTACTTGCGACGTGCGGTTATCTGTACTTTTCAAGCTCGCGGGACAAAAAGTTCAAGAGGGTCAAGTAATTCGACATCATTGGACAGTCCTCCTTTCCAACGTGGATTTAAGACCCGTCTTGGAATTCCGCTCCCCTTTTTGGGTCCCTTTCGTTTAGCACGAAAAATCTGTTTTTGTCAAAATTTACTGTTATCTGTTTTCCTATTTGAGGTAAGGATTTTCTTTTTCTTTTGATAAGTGCGAATTTTCTCGCATCTACGCATGCATCGTGTCCAGTTGCACTTAGGGTTTCGGGTAATTTTGACTCCGTTGCACGTGAGCGCCACGTGCAATAGGGTCGAATAGGAACGTTCGGGACGAAAGTGCCCCGATAAAGTTGCACGCACTTGCTCGCCTACCGGCGAAGATTGGGCCGGCCGGTGAGTTTTGGGCGTGTTCCGAGACTTAAGCCGGCCATTTTCAGGGCTTTTAATCGGGCGGAATCCACTTTGGCATATCCCTACTCGAAAATTTTTTGGGCACCGTGATATAATTTTCAATTGAAGCGACGACTCAAGATAATGTAAAGAATTTTGGTCTGCAAGCCTCTCTGTCTATCTGGGTGGACAACAAATAAAGTGCACGCCGAAGTTATTTGGTGAGGACCGGACGGAACGAAGAAAGGGACTCTTCCAAACATTATCATTTGACAATAGCCCCTAAACTTATCCATTCGCATTTTATAATATGGGAATGCCCGAAAATCAACTAGAAGAGAACATCAAGGTTACGTGGCAAAGCAGTGGATGCTAAAAACCAAAAGGCTAAATTTAATTAATTAGGTTGTTTGTCCCTATCGAATCATAGATCTTGGAGCGATAAAGATGCATCAATCTAACCGTAAGTCCTTCACTAATCAGTTTTTGCACCTATTGACTCGGGGTTCGGAGATATCCATAACACGGGAAAAACGGTATCCTCTCGAACCCTAGCTAGTCACCCAAACGCCATAATAAAGATTGCATGAAGGCAGTGTGTCAGCGTTTCGCTCCTATTCTCAATCGGCGAACGAGGCCGAGCTCTCGTCGAGCCACGAAAAGAAAAAAAAAGGGGAAAAAATACCAAAAAATATCATAAACCTATTGCACTTGTGCTAATTTAATCTTAAAACTTTTAATTGTATCGGTTGAGTCTTAAACCTTTTGACGATTTGCCAATAAAATTCATCTGGCCAATTTTGGTCGGAAATCGCTAACATGGATGCCCACCATCCTACTTGGTACGACCAACATTGACGTAAACAAACTTTACAAATTTTTAATTATTTTCTTCTTTTCTTTTCTTTCTTTGTTTTTTTTTTTTACAACTCTGGGTCAGCGAGGTCACTGGCCATAGGTGAGGGCCTTTGTACCCTCGGCCAGACCAGAAGAGGGTCAGCCGGCGACCTCGCCAGCCGTGAAGAAAAGAAAGGAAAGAAAAGAAAAAAGAAAAGAAGAAAGTAATAACAATTCAAAAAAAGATTTATAAAATTTATAACAAAATTCACGTCTGCCCCGGTCATGCAATGTAAGATGCCCAGCGTCCATGTTAGCGATTCGGCTAAAATTGAGCGGATGGATTACATTGATAAATCGTTAAAATATTTTAAGACTGAATTGACATAAGTATAATAGGTTCGTGACTTTTTTCGGTACTTTTTCCCAAAAGAAAAAAGCCGACTCTCCTGCGAGCGAACAGAGTAGTAATCTTTGCTCTAAAGAAAGGTATCTCCTAATCCGATTATTTCCCAATCTCCCATCCATTTTCTTAATTTGGCCCCAAACAAGCCAAGACCCAGATGACCCATTTGCCCCAAAAGGAAGGCGTACATGCCGAGCTGCAAAATTAGGTGGCTCAACACAATTTCTTGCGTGGCGGACCAAATCGTGGTCCACCAACCATCGTGCAACATCGCTGTAATTCCAATGGCCGCGTTCGATTGCTGGTGCTGCTGCTGCCGCTGCCGCGGCTGGTGGGTTGCTACGGACCCTCCAAAAATCAGGTGATCGAGAAATTAGAGCCCGAGCGGCTCGACTTCTCCCCGGGTCGCCGCACCCGCCAAACGTCCCGCCGAGCTCGGCTCCGATTGGTCCCTTTCGGATCGGGCTCTCGTTTGCCGCCAAAATAGAGCGGGAGAAGATGCTTTTCCGATTTTTTTTGTTTTGGTGTAGTGGAGGAGGAAGGTGAGATTGGACATGGAGAGAAGGGTAGTGTTTTGGCCCGTCCTAGGACCAACCCGCCAGTGTTGGGAACATCAGTTTTCCTGACAAATAAAAAAAAATATGCGGACCAACATCGGATGAACGGAACAAAAAGAAAAGAACATAACTTTCCATACAATTCATATACTATGACGGTTTTATTAACCACATCATCCATAAATCAAGGTACCCATCAAATGAGTGTCCGGAGATAAGAGAAGGAGAGAGTTATGAGTGTCTAGTTACGTTTTTTTTTTTGTCGATTTTTTTAATTAAAATTTTAAAAATAAATATATTATTATTATATTACGGCCCGCCTCGGTGGGTGGAGATTGTCGCTTCCACACGGAATCGGAACGGACCGATACCCACCGGTTCCAAAAAATTGGAACCGGGAACTGGACCGTCCCCTTGGGAACCACCGGTTCCGGTCCGATCCCGGGCGGTCCTGTGTTTTTGCACACCCCTAATGGGGAGCTCGATTCAAACAGTTTTTACGGTTGGGGACAAACTCTCCAGCGGATGGGAAAGTCAACTCCTTTGACCGCTTGGTGACTAACTTTTTTTTTGTGTGGGAATCTGTGATCATTGTAGGGCAATGGCCTTTTTGTTTTCTGTCGTTTTTTTGTAAGGACAAATCTGAATTGAAGATATGCCGATCGCGACATTGCTAGGTTCATAGTCGAAAGCATCGCACCTCTCTATCTCGTGCATCACAGAAGGCGGAAAGTCGAGGAAGATGGGTCCTTCGGCGAGAGGATCGCGCGATTAGTGTATAGGTGGTAGAGAAACCGTAGCGCCCCACGAAGCGAGATTCAATAATCGCACCGTGATTAGCAACTCATTAGAGAGCAAATCCTAGAGGGTGATTAAATTAAATTGGTAAGAATCACCTTTTTTTTTTGGCCTCTTTGTCAGGGTCAATGATTAATTAATTAGGAGAAGACCTTGAGATTAGCATAGTTTAATCACGAGGAGGAGGGTCGCTAAAACATGTGCCGGCACGCCGCTTGATCACCACTGAAGAGAGAGAGAGAGAGAGACAGTCAGACAGCAACTACCGGGGCTGGTCGTCGTCCGCCAATCTTCAGTCTTCGGTTTGCCTGTTAGAAGCTTAGGTGAGAGCCAAGCCAAATCCTACAGAGAGAGAGAGATCTCCCTCTCGTCTGTGCGACCGTCTGGTAGATTTTCAGGGCAGACCCACCATCTCTCTCTCCCTCTTCTCTTCGCTGGTCGTGTCCAATTCGTGCTTCCTTCGCGAAGCTCTCTCCTTTCCCTCTCTTTCTCGCTCTGGGGGAGCCTGGAGTGGTTCGGTCGGTACGAAAGGTTTTGTTTTTTTTTGTTTTTTTTTTGTGGGCTGTTGTTGGTTCGAGAGGGAGCTGCTTCTCTGGAGTGAGAGGAGCATGGGGAGGAGCCTGCGAGTGGCGGGTCTGTCGCCAATGGAGGTCGCGGCCCTCGTCGCCAGCTGGTGGGACGAGATCAACGACTCCACCCAGTGGCAGGACGGTGTTTTCTACGCTCTCTGTGCCGCCTATGCGCTCGTCTCCTTCGTCGCCCTGGTCTCTCTCTCTCTCTCTCTCTCTCTCTCTCTCTCTCTCTCTCTCTACTATGCTGTGTTGGGTGTTTTCTTGCTCGTGGGATGAGATTGATGTGATTTGGTCGGCTTTGATTATGTTTAGATGTTTTTAGAGATTGTACTTTTGTGATTCTCTGCTTGAGAAATGAGGGGAGCCCTTACTTTTGGTAGATGTGGGATGTGAGAAAGTGCAGTGGAGTGGAATGTACAATCAGAAGCAACTTTTGTGGCAGTCACGATTGGACATGTGAACCGTTTCACCGATTCCCACTTTGGTAAAGTTAAAGATATTGGTTGATGTTGATTGGCTATTGGACCCTTCTTCAGATTTTGATTTTAGACTCGGGTCCAGTCCTTTTCGAGCGTGCAATGTTGCTCGTTCACTAGATCCAGCAGACTTTGAGTTGATCCCACAGTGTCTGAATATTTGTAATGCCGATTGTCTTTGGCCTGTTCACAGTAATTTGAATTGCCTGCCTAGCAAGTGAATTAATTTTCGAGCGTGTAGTTCTATGTTAGCTAGCTTCATTCACGAGTCTCAAGCCGAGTTTGTTTGCAAAGCGCAGATTCAATTGATAAGGATTGAATTGAGAGTGCCTGAATACGGTTGGACGACTCAAAAGGTTTTTCATCTCATGAACTTTATTGTCAATGGAGGTGATTGTTCAATCTTTCTTTACATTTTGATGCTCCATGATTGCATTTCATGGTAATTGTTTGAGGCTTTGCCTTACTGTGTTTCTTATGCAGTACGCGCTATCGTGTTTGGGTTTCACAATCAAGTCTTCGATTTAAGTCCAAAGGTTGGTTTGTGGCTGCTTCTTAAATTTTCTGCTGCAATTTTGGAAGCCCTATGTTTTCAAAGCTCACTTCTTCATGATGTTATATTCATCCCCTACATAATAAGTTCATGGTTCACTTAGAGAGCCCACTGCTTATCTTGAGGGGGCCTGAGATATAAGTGATGTTTGTTAGGTATCACATCCTGAAAGTGGCCTCATTTTTACTGTTTACACTAAATAAAAAAATGTGGTATCACCTGAATATGTAGAATCGACTATTTTGGATGTGGAAGAATTTCATGTTAATAGCACGATCCTACTTTCGCAGGAGTGCCCTCAAACAAGAGATAAAAATGTATCTAATGAAATGAACACTCACAGCATTATGGTTATGATAACATTAGATAGCATTGTTTTAAATGCTCATGGACATCATATATCAACCGTTAGCATCTACAAAGCCTCTTGTTATTTTCTAGCATGCTTACGTGGGACAACTGCAACTTGAAGCAGGTTCTTCTTTGGGTTCTGTTGGATCTTCCGGGGCTCTTATTTTTCTCTACGTACACACTTCTTGTCCTCTTCTGGGCAGAAATATATCATCAGGCAAGTAATTCCATCCTTGTTATTCCTCTCAGTGAGATGCATGATCTCAATTTGCTTCTAATGCTCTATAAGAGTATGTCGCCTTCTCATTTCTTTCTCAATAGTGAGTATATATAATTATAGATCATTCTCAATGAGCAGGCAAGAAGTTTACCGACAGATAAACTAAGGACTGTTTATATTGTAGTCAACTGTGCCATATATTTCATCCAGGTGCTTTTCCTCGATTCCTTTCATGTATCATCTAATTAAATTTATTTTTTTGCACTTTTTTACTGCATCTTTTACATAACTCGTTAGAATGGTGACATGTACACTTGTGCTCTTTCTTGTATGTTTAGATTCTGGTATATTTCTTCTCTTTGTATCAAGTTCTCAGACTCTTATTTGGAAGTTTTAGGTATGTAATTGTCATTGGTCAATATAATCACTTCATGTGAATGCTGCAAGTTGTATAGAGTGCCTGACTGGTCTTTAAAGATCTGCGCGTCAGTCATTTCCTTCAATCAACTCTGGTTGCAGCTTCGCTCAGTTTTGGTCATTGCAAGAATTTTGAAGGCAAAGAAAGGTTTATGGCTAACTAATTCTTTTCATTAGAAAAATTGCCAGTACAATTTGTAGCTGGGGACCTACCGAATTGTAATTTTGAGAGAGAAAATAGTCTGTCTCTCATGCCTCCTGTATGAAGGTAGTCATGTGTTTAGCCAGTGATATCTGCCAAACCATCAGTTTCCATACTGCGTCGTGTATGAATAAAGCTGTGTTAAATTCTCCACAGGGAATGACGAGTCAGTCACTAAAGCAGAATCTGCATTATTTATTTGTTATTGACTCTAGCTAATTTTGCCCCTCTAACTATAGTAATATAAGCATTGATTTCAGGTTTGCATCTGGATTTACCTGTGGATAGATGACAACAGCGTTGTGGAATTTGTTGGGAAGGTATTTATTGCAGGTCAGTTGACATCTCTTACCCACAATGGCATGGAGAGAGAATTTTCTTTATTTTTATTTATTTATTTTGTTTTGAGAGATAATATGTTGAGGTGTTTCAGTTAAGAGTGATCTGCATATATGGTCGAACTTCAATGTCAAACTTATGACAGTTTGAGTACAAGTATTTCTACCCCCTCTTCTGCTCTCGAAACTAGTTGCTCAGCACTGTGCCTATATCTTCTTTCTGTTAAAAACTCCCTTTTCATTCCTTTTCATAAAGCAGAACCTATCAAGAAAGCTTTTTTTGAAAACAGATACAGCTGATGTGAGCTAACTTATATCATTATAAGCTATTCAAGTAGACATCCCAATCCAGCTTCCTCCCAGAAGTGCAAAGAGTATAGTGATTAACACCTCTTTCAGGTTAGGGTGGAAAGAAGAAAACGGAACTTCTTTTTCGCGAGTTAAACTGAGAGCTTTTTTAGCAGGGGTAAATGTGTTAGTCAGTGGAGCCATAGGGGATGCATTATAATTTTTCCTTTTGTAATTCAAGCTTTCTTTTTGTCCTAATCAATATATCTGCTTGGTACTTATTCTGGAATCTTGTTTCTCACAGTTGTGTCAATATTAGCTGCATTGGGCTTCTTGCTTTATGGAGGAAGGTGAGTATTAGAAGTTGATGTGCTGATTTATTAGTCAGTGCATCTGGAACTTTTATGTTCTGCTTACTCTTTGTGGTTTGATTTTTTCCTTGTGATCAGTGTTGTTGTCAAATGATTCCAGGTTGTTTTTCATGTTGAGGCGGTTTCCTATTGAATCTAAAGGAAGAAGGAAGAAGCTCCATGAGGTGGTTCTCCTTTCGTTTTAAATCAAAACTTAGTTGTGTCGCTTCTTTCTGCTTCTTGCCTTTGTTTAAGATAAATATGTTTAAATATTGCACACTTCTGTAATGATTACTCTGAAGTTAAAGTGAAAATATGAAATGTATTGCTGGTGGTTGGTGCTTGGTGCTGTCAGTAATATCTTTGTTAGAAGCTGGATATCTTGGGATCAGACTATAGTTTGTTTGCAAGTGAAGTTCTGTGTTCTTTCAACTCTCACAAGTGCTGGGGCATCTTCCTTGTTTTTTCCTTTGCCCTTTCACTCGGCTCTGTCAAAAGTTTTTTTATTTGACTGGATACATATCCAATTTATCCAACTTTCAAGCAGGTCTTGATACGTTTATATTGGGTATTTATGATTTAACACATGAAAGTTTTCTAGGATCATCGATCCTGCCGAACACTATTGTATTGGATGTGTATGTGAAAAGCCAAATCAAATGTGGCTTTTGGATTGATTTTCCTGACTACCTGACATGGGGTGTGCACCTTTTCGGCAGGTTGGATCTGTCACGGCCATATGCTTCACCTGCTTCCTTATCAGATGTTTTGTGGTGAGCACCTACTGAGTCTTCTAGCAATGCAAAGTCTGTAGTTGAGTCTACAAGTTTTAGAAAGGATAGCCTCATTTTTTGTGCCTTTACTATATCAACCTCAGGCTGTTATTCGAAACGCCTATTATAGATATGTTGCCACAGGAAATTTGTTTGAAGCATGTGATTCTAAAGCTAGAGTCCTTGTCTTCGTTCTGTGTCCTAGTTCTCATTGTTTTTCTACATCTTTGAACATATGTGACTTAACCTGGTAGATTGTATCGTTGTCCATTTATTTCTATGTCATACGTAGCTTGTCTACGATGGCAGTTCCTCCCCTAAAGTACTCCCTGCCTTTGCTGAAAGGAAGTTTCAGTAAAGGACTATCGAGAGGAGAAGGAAGCCCAAAGACTATTTTTCCAGACTTCATTGGTGGAATAAAACTAAGATACTTTTGTTCAAACAAAATTTGAAGAAAATCAAGATAGGGCAGTACACAAATGTAGTTGAAAGTGAAGAGATACCCAATATCTAGCTTAATGAGCTGGCATTAGAAAGCTTTTTTCCCATGTTGTTATGAGTATATTGACTATGAAGTTCCTGCTTCAATGATTGGCCTCTGTTATGGAATTGGTTTCTCTCAAGCCTCCTGCTTAAGTATGCTAGCTTCTAAATGCAAGTCTGGTAACCATTGACTTCCTTTACGGTGACGTGATTTGTTACCATCTTTGGATTACCAAGTTAGAATTCTTGGCTTGTATCAAGGATTTAATTTTTTCAAAAGCAGGTAGGCATTTTAGTGTCTTCTTGCTAATACCTCTGCTGAAGAGTCCTGCCATTTGAGCAAAACTCATTATATGCGTGTTGAGCTGCAACTGAAAATGCTTTTAAGGGGAGGAGAAAAAAGATCCATTGCCGTTATATTGATTTAGTCAGGGTTGCAGTTTGTTTCTTGAGCTCTAAATTTGAGCTGGCAAAATGCAGGTCCTCTTATCCGCATTCGCTTCAGATGCATCCCTCGATGTTTTGTATCATCCGATTTTAAATTTGATATATTACACGGTACTTTCTTATCCCATTTCTTTGTGAGGTTCGTTTATTTGTTCCTCATCTAAATGTTTATATTCTTCAAATGTCTGTTGCTCCAATAACAGCTGGTTGAGATCCTACCTTCAGCTTTAGTCCTTTTTATCTTACGGAAGTTGCCTCCCAAGAGGATATCGGCTCAATACCATCCGATCCGCTAGTCAAAGTCAATCCTTTTTTTGGTAGATAATTATTCTTTTGTCCTCTTGAAGATGGGTTTTTTCATGGTTCGACAGCTAGAGTTACCGAAGTTGAGTAATGGGAAGCAGAGCCTGAAAAAAAAACATTCCAGATGTATCGTTCTGGTATGGCTCACGACGCCGGCAATTCTTTTTACATATTTACTGTTGTAATTTATTGTAGGGAGGTGCTTTCCATTTACTTCTCTTTCTTCTTTTTTCTTTCTTCTAATCCACTTTCTTTTGAGCGGGGTTCGAGGGGCACGGAAAAGGGCCGCATGTTGTATCATAAGTCATGTGCAGATATTCGGTGAGGCATTTGGAAAAAGAAAGAGTCAAATGTGATTTCAGATAATTAGGTCCTCATGTTTATAGCAATGACATTGGCTTTGTTAACAGAAGAGCTATTGCAGATCATGTGTTCTCTGTTTTCGAATTCTTGGAGTAGTAGGAAAAAAGTTGATGTTTGTGTAACAGTGCTTGTGTTGCTAATGTGGCTGTTCTCTGGCTCATACTGGTGATGCATTGCTTACCCTCGAGCAATTCCTAGTTGTGATCACTGATTTTAATGGTCAGAGCTGTTGGTAAGAATGTCACATGCCGACTCTTCTTATCCGGAGAGTGCGCGATTCTCTCGCGCCGTGTGAAAGCAAAATAGCTAATGGATTGGAGATCAAGCCAAATTTCCAGTGGATTTTGACCCTTTTCCTGTTGACGCTGTTATCTAGCCATAATGCTGTTCATCAGGGGTGATCGGCATCAAAATAGGTAGGTCCTAGGCCAGAAACCCGAAACCTATCTTGTCATAGTAGTTCTTTTGGTTTTCGCAACTTGGAATTGGACTGGTTGACCTTGGATTTGGCATGGAACCGAACTGGTTAAGGCCGGTTCCTCAAAATCTTTTTACCAGGGAGCCGAACTGGTCATCGCGAAAACCGGCGTGGACCCGATCCGGTAACGCTACTACGGGCCGGTTCAAACCGGCTCTTATTGCTCACCTCTACTGTTCATTACAGAAAATTAACTAGAAAACGACCAAATTTTAATGTGACTACCTCTTTCTCGGTGCTGAATACACAAATAGACGAAATATTCGAAATTGTCGCTGAATATGGATCTGTATTGGCAAGAGAGCCATAGAGGAACACGAGCAAGTTATCCGATCTCTTTGACCTCCTGTGTTTCAATGCATGTTGATTCTATCCCAGTGTCGTTTTAATTCACTCCCCAACTTTCAAATTGTTTGTCTCTGCATCTACACCAGAATGGAAATGGTTAGAAAGTTTTTAAGTACCGAATCTATCTTGGCCAAACTTACTTTTCTGTATAAAATGTCATTAATTTCACTTGGATATCATCAGTTTTCAATTTTTTTTTTAACTTTGAAGAGTTACTAAATACGTGACGATACTACTAAATACCGATGGTAAAACATAATTTTTTTACGTGAAAAAAACTTGTTTCTGGAATTTGGAGATTCCATGACCAGTGCTCATTCCTATCGACTAAATAATCTTTAATTGAATTAAACAATATCTTTTATTTGAAAAATGCAACAAAAAAAAATTTTCATTTGCGAATGTTAATACTACAAAAAACCTTGAACTGGTGCACCTTTAATAAATTTACCCTAAACTAATTTTTTTACCACCAAAAATCCTGAACTAGTATACTTGTAACAAATTTACCCTCCATTAGTTTTTTTAAAATTTTAGAGTTAAATTGCTAACTTGGATGACATGTGGCAGTTGACATGTGTATTAGTTTAAGGTTTTACGTATTAGTTTAATTTAACGAAGGGTAAATTTGTCACAAGTGTACCAGTTTGGGGTTTTGTTGGTCAAAAAATTAGTTTGGATAAATTTGTTACAGGTGTACTGGTTTGGGGTTTTTGATAGTCAAAAAATTAATTTGAGGTAAATATGTCACTGGTGTACCAATGGGTTCTTTGTGGTATTAATCATTGTGAATTTGCATCTTTAGTACCGGTTCCATTCTAGGCCTTTATTTTTCAAAACCATGTTTTGGTGTTTTATTTTCTTATTTTGCCCAAAAGAGCAAAATAATTCTTGAATTTTGGTTTGATTTGTAATGTGGTACATGAATTTTTAATTTGTTCAATGCGGTCCTTAGACTTTTGGTACATGTTCAGCTCAGTCCCTGTACTATATAAAAATGCTTGATGTTGTTGTACTCCATTAATTTAAGTTCATGACAATATTAAATATTTTCATATAATTCAAGGACTAAACTGAATATGTATAAAGAATTCAAGGACTATATTGAAATAATTGAAAGTTCATGGACCAACATTGTATATCGAGCTATAGTTCAAGGACCATATTGAAAAAATTAAAAATTTAAGGATCACACTGCATATCGAACCAGAGTTATTGACCCGAAATTTATGGACCATTCGTGTCATTTTCAAGGTGGAAAAAAAAAGTGTGTTTTTTGGGCTCTAACCTCTCCCTCACGCGCCTCAGCGCTCCGCTCATCATCATCATCACGCGCCGCTCCTTCTCCGACACGGCCCACAAGGCTCTTTTCTAACCTTTTCTCCTTTTGCCCGCCTTCATCTGCAGATTTCAAATTCAAAGCTTTCTCTCTCTTCTTCTTCTTCATTCTCTCTCTCTAACCTTCCATATCCTCTTCAACCTTCCGCTCTCTAACGTCCCTAAAAAATTCACCACCACAGTCACAAACCCATTTGCGATCTTCACCGCAGGAACTCGAAGCTTTTCGGGGTAACAATCAATGGAGTTCTCCGACCACCAGCCATCATCTTCCCACCACCCTCCTCCTCCTTCTTCTTCCTTTCTCAAAGACATTTCGAACTTCAAGACCCCGAGCCGGCCCCCGCGCAACCCGGGTTTCCAATCCCCGAACCCGCAATTCTTCACCGCCTCCAAGCAGACCCCTCTCCCTCTCTCCCTCTCCACCGCCCGCCGCGCTGCCGCGGGCGGCCGCCCCTCGCGCTCGAGGCGGAAACAATCCGCCTCGTCGGCCGCGGCGAGCCGCAGGCTCAAGGCGTTCGAGCTTGAGCAGTCGCGGTCGTCGCGCAAGGCCCAGTTGAGGAAGGAGCAGAATCTAAGGGCGCTGGCGAAGTCCCTCACTGCTTGGCTCGATTTCTTGTTCCGGAACCCCAGGTCGTGCGGGTGCGATTTGTCGGTGGGCTTGGATGGGCGTGGCGATGAGGGGAATGCGGTGACGGGGAAGAGGGGGAGCTGGCCAAAGGTCGGGGTAGGGTTCGATCCTGCAGTGCCGAGCCCGAAGAGGATGAGGGACTTGCGGTGGCGGAATGAGGAGGATGGCGGTGGGATCTCGGAGGGGTTCTCGAATTTGAAGTTCGATAGATTGAGGGATTCGTTGGAGCACGTTTGCAGTTTCGATGATCTGAAGGAGAGGATGCTGGTTTATTTAAACTTGGCTTGTTGCAAAGAGATTTTTAAAGTAATGACCCAAGTCACTAAGGTATGATGGGAATTCCTGAATTTCATAGTGCTTAAGTGGTCAGCATTTAGGGAAGTTTTCTTAATAGGGACTAAGAACTGTAGTAAATGTGCTGAAAGGTTCAATGAATAACTTAGATCACATTTTGAAATAATTTCATCAGCATTAGTTCTTTTACTTTTGTCCATTGCTGATATGGAAATGGTTGGCCACATTCATTTTTGTGTTATCTCAATGTTCATGTTTGTAGACGTTTTCTTTAATAGCTTTCCCCATTTCTGCAGAACATTGATGATGGAAGACTTAAAATGAAGGCTCATTGCCCTATAGTTACAGATTTTGGCATGAAGGAGAAGGTCATTAGAATTCTCTTATGCTATAACCCGCTCTGGCTTAGGATAGGGTTATTCATTATTCTTGGGGGCGATTCATTGTTGCCTAATGAAGATGCTGAGTCTGATCAAGATGCTGCATTCTTGAAACTGGTCATCGAAAGGCAGTTCCTCTCACATGGGGGTTTAGCCAAAGCATATGCTTATAATAAGAAGGTTGAAGGCTTATACAGACCAGGTTATTATGAATCTCTGGGGAATGTCATACTCAAAAGGTTTCTGCTTCTTGTTCTTATATTGGATAGAGCTAAATCCCAAAGCAGTCTTCCTCTCAAGTATGGTATTGATGGATTGGACGGAGGTTCTCCCTTATTATTTTCTCTTCAATCTAGTATCAAATCAAGCCGTCAGGTGGTTAATGGTAAGGGTTGAACAGCTACTTATTTGGTAAAGTCTAAATTGTTTTTTATGACTGACTCTATCCATTGTAGGTTGACTTTTCTCTCTTTCTGGTTCACAATTAGATTTCTTGTCATCTGATGTGATGCATGGAGAAGGTAATCTTCTTGCACATCTAGTGATTGTAGGATTCAAAGTATCTTATCAGCAGGTATGCTCACTCCATTCGTACTGCTTGTTCAATTTGTTTTGCATGTGTTTCCTCATGCTCGAGACTACGGCATCCTAATGTGGGTTTGGAGTACCATTTTACTTTAAATTTGCGTCTGCATGCATTGATGTTCAGGCATCACGACACTAGTGTTGCATAACAGGCAATAAGTTACCATATTATGATATTTGATTCATGATCTGTCATTTGTCGTGCTATAGTGCCCCCTGATTGAGTACGACTTCAGATTAACTGATGTGTTGGAGGATCTCCATGATGGGGTGCGACTCTGTCGGGCTATCCAGCTTTTAAAGCAAGACTCATCAATTCTATTGGTATGTTCAATGAAATGAAGTTTGTGTGGCAGCTGACTCTAGCGCCTCTCTTCCACAGTTTAGCGATTTTTTTTTGTCTAAATTTTTAGTGATATTTTAGTGATTATGCTATGTACAGAAACTGGTAGTTCCCACAGACACTCTGAAGAAAAATGTAGCAAACTGTGGCATTGCATTGCAATATCTTAAGCAGTCTGGTGTGCCGCTAAAGGATGAAGATGGAATGACAATAGAAGCAGATGATGTTGCCTGTGGAGATAAGGAACTTACCCTTTCTTTGCTCTGGAACATGTTTCTTCACTTGCAGGTTTGTCCGCTTCTACTTTCTGAAAATTGGATTTGCAAATTTAAACTAGAAATGGCTTGCTTGTTAATTCTGGTATATGGATAATATCCTTTTCGATGGAACTGCAGCTACCTCTTCTTATTGATAAAGAGGTTCTAGCGGAGGAGGTCTCCCGAGTTCGTGGAGTCTCTGTGGTATGTCCAAAACTGGATGACATCCTATTTTACATAGCATGATGGAGCATGTGCATGCGAGTCCCTAGTTGTGTCCAGTTGCTTAAATGTGTGGATTTGAACAATAAGCTTATTCTCCCCTCCTCTACGTTCTTTGGTTTTAGAAAGATAATAAAGTTTCCTTCCATTACATCGCAGGACAAAATGATCACCTATGACTGCACTTTGCTGGACATCATCTTAAACTGGATTCAGGTACCTCTCTGTTAAACATATTGTAGTCGGATTCTGTTTGACTCTGATATTATAGTCAAACCTCTTTTATATTATATTGCCTTCATTTGGAACATCTGGCAATAGAATTTTTGTTCTCCTTCTCGTTTAAAGATATTTATATCAGACTTATCGTATCCTAAGGCAGGGTTTTGATTTCTTCTTTATTTATCCCATACCTTGACTGTTAAGTGTTGAGCTTTGTATCTTTCTTTCTGCATTGACCATCAGAGACATTGGTCCTGGCCCTCCTGGGGTGTATTGCCTTCATTCTTCAGCTTTTTAAGCACGTATCTGGTTCAATTGACCGTTGTTATTGCATGTTTGCAGGCAATTTGTGACAGTTATGGTCTCAAGATTGACAATCTCAATTCCTTGATTGACGGAAAAGCCATATGGTGCTTGCTTGACTATTACTTTCGCAAGGAACTTCATCGCTCTTGTCCTTTAAAGGTCTTCAGGAATTATCTGTTGTCGACATGAAAATTTTCATGCATTTTTTTTTAATAACAACACTAGTGTCATTTGTTCAGACGAATAACACTGCTGTTGTTTATTCAGGATAACAATGGAGCAAGAGGTGAAGAATCAATCATGGCTGCTGCTGATTATACAGATGCAGTGCACAATTTCATTTTATCACAGAAATTGACAGGTTTACTTGGAGATTTTCCTGAGGTATGTCTTATAGAAGATTTCTCCAACATGATACTTCATACTTCATATGTTTCTTCTGAAAGTTAGAAAAGTAGTTCAGACATCTACACGGCATCTCTCATCCTTGCTTCTTGGTAAGATCCATGATTCAGAGATTCCATTGAAGTTATGGACGTAACTAAGTGCACATTCTTCGTGAGCCTCTCTCTATTGAAGTTATGATACTGCCTGGCATTCCATTTTTGGCACTTACCAATCATTATAATGTATAATTAAGTACCTCCACTGCAGGATAGGACTACAGTCTGTGATTTGTCCATCCCTTTTGACTTATGAATTTAATGTATCTCCTCCAGTGGTAACAATTTTAATCAAGTTGCATGCAAGTTTTTTGTTAAAGAGAGTTTGACCTTAAATGTATTTTGTCGTCAATGGATTACCATTAGTGTCCGGGATCAGACAAGATTGATAGATTTGAAAATGATATGCATGGTTGCATGTGGTTTGAGATGATATTTGCTTCTCAGTTAGAATGGTATGCTCAGCATGTTTGTTCTAGAAACTTTTTGCAAACAGCTGCGTTATTAAATCTATATAAATACGTGTCAGCTCTACCACCACAAATGGTCCAATTTCAGGCTCCTCCTTTTTATGCATTTGCTGATATCTTGCTACAGTATGTGGACTTTCTTGTGTTGCAGTCCATTACTTTAATTAGTCGTCTTTTAATTTTGCTAATGCAGATTCTGCAGATAAGTGATGTACTGGAGCATCACGGCGCGCGTAATAGTCGCAGTGTCGTTATTTTGTTGGTGTTCCTTGCATGTCATTTGGTTATGAAGAAGAATATGGTAATGGTTTAACTGCTATCCCTGAGGATACGTTATGCCTCTTCTCCTTTTGTTTAAAAACTATACTCTAGAAGTTACAGCTGAGTTTTCTCTCGAGCAGGATCATTTGAATTTTCATAAGCTCTTAAGTTGCACATGTCATGTGGAGAGAAGACACTCAAGCCATCAACGGAGTTTTGTCAATTCTAATTTAGCAAAGGAAGATGCAGATGGGCTGAGCAATGCAGGTGTGTATGCTAGCATACTGATAGCTAATATGGAGAACTTAGGTAGAACTGCTGGCTAGCTGTCAGATTTCTATTAATTTATAACAACTAAAATATAGTTTGTAGTTTGTACCGTAGGTGCAGTGTGCCATCAGAGCCTTGGATTTTTCCAATTTGATCTCATGAAAGCTATATCCAAGCCATCCATCTTTCCGCTCTCTGGAGTCCTATTTCTTTTGTAATTCTGCCCAATCTCAGATTAGTTTTTGGGCTTCCACTAGATACATCAACCTTCCTACGTGCGAAAAGTGCAATATCAAACTATGTCAGAAGAATAATGTTTCGAAAAAGTTGTCTTCCCTTTGTCAAACATCTTCGGCTGTAAAGTTGCAGATTGGACCGCATTTAAGGATACCACCTTGAGATATAGCTCTTAAACGAAAATTTGGAAGTGGAGAGTTTATTATTGCATGGAAAAATCATGAAGACAGAGATTGATAAACATGTGATGTTATGAACTTTTGTATTTGTGGACTATGGGATGATTTAAAGATTTTATTGATTAGTGGAGCGTCTGAAATAAGAAAACTGTATTGAAATCTGTCACTTTTATGTTGAACCAGTCTTCGAGGCAAACTACACTGGGCAAGAGAATTTTTCCGTTTATCCTTACTTTTATGTTTTTTGAGACTTTTTGGCTGCTCCTACTAAACATTTTATGCACTGGCTTGAAATTTGAAGTAGTCATGTCTCTTTTTTTTTTTTCAGCATTAGAAGCAGCAAAGAGGTTCAAGGCCATCCAGGCTTGGTGGCAAAGTATGGCTGAGAAGGACTTCAAAAGCATTTCAAATCCACAAAATTCTGCTCTTGATGTCTTCCCAATCAGCAAATCAGAAAATGAACCTAAAAGAGGTAGTCAACTGCCAAACCACTATGAGTTATATAGAGTTACTTCTCAAGGATATATTACTTGTAGGCATTCACTTCCCAAGTGGTTTGCAGAATACGATTCTTTTTGTTTCATTAAATTTTTTTTTACATTGGATCGATTGTCAAGATTATGTAGTGCAACTATAGAATCTCTAGTAATTGTCGAATGCTTTCAGATGATGCCGCCTGTCTTATCCAGTCCCACTACAGAGGAATGATAGAACGTCGCAAGTTTTTGAAGATTATGGATGCAGTTTCTTTGCTGCAGAGTGCTACTCGGGCTTGGTTAGTTGTCAGGCAGAAAATGCTGCTCACCAGAAGTTTTGTCATTGAGGTGGATGAATTTCTATGCGGTAAATGATCTTCTTGGATAATAATCTAGTATCACTTAATTTTATTCTTTTATTTTCATGATTTGTCAGATTCTTGTGCAGGTAGAGGGAAGAGTTCAGAAACATATGGGAGATACTTGTTACTTATTTTTACCAGGCATAACTTAGTCAAGATGAGAAGGTCGGTATTGTTTATCCAGCGAGCAGCAAGGAAATGGATCTCTCAGCGCAAAGGTATTGCAATTTATGTGGCACATCATCACTAACCTAGGCAATACTTCTTTTGTTAGCGATTGCATACCAGGGTGCACTTTGAGGTCAATTGCTGTATTTAAGAACTCTTAAATAGGTCACTACATTGAAATGGTTTTTGAAACATGCACAGAAATGAGTTCAACAATTATTCGAACAAATGCTGCAACTCAAATTCAGCTTGCTTGGCGGAACGTTTGTCTCCGGAATTCTCTCAATAACAAGCACTGCGCTGCTATAAAGATCCAGTCTCATGTTCGTGGTTGGTTCTTAAGAAGGGAGTACTTGAATCAGAAACAAGCAGCACTTACAATCGATCGTAATTTTCAACGCCTTAGATGCTGGAGGTTGAAACAACGTGCGGAAGTCTCAATTAAGTCAGCCATCGTAATCCAATGTTATGCTCGTAGATGGATTTGCCAAAGATGGTACTCTAGATGTCACCAGCTTATTGTTCAAATCCAGGTACAGTATCTGTCGGATCGTGTACTTGTTTTCTGCAAAATGTGCGCTTTTCCATTTTTATGGAATAAGTAAGCCACTCACTTTTATAATAATACAACAATGTTTATTTTGCACATCCATTAACTATTGCAATTTAATAATATAGAGGTGTTACATTTGTGGCTAATTGCTTTGCTCTAAACAAATCCAGAGCCGATGCCGTGGTTGGTTGATAAGAAGAGACTTTTTAGCTCGGAGAGAGGCTGCTATTATAATCCAGAGTTCTGCACGCCGTCTTATATGCTGGAAGGGTCTTTGTAACTGCAGATATGCTGCTATAGACATTCAAAGCTTTGTAAGGGGACAAATGACACGGAAGAGGCTTATAGGTACTAGTAAATCTCTCGTGTATATCTATAACCTCTTTACTGTGCAACATGTTCTTTCTCTGTTATATAGTGACAATAATCGGTACATGTCGGGTACTTCAGGGCCTTTAAACTCTAGGACTGTCAACTTTAGCTCCACTTTAGAGACCACAAGTGGCTATTCTCAGAATTCCAAAATCAAGATTCCACTTTCCTCCATTATAAGACTGCAAAGATGGTGGAGAAGTGTTCTCTTGCAAAGATTGAGAAGTAAATCAGCGACTGTCATTCAGTCCTATGCTCGGGGGTGGATTGCAAAGCGGAAAGCCGCAAGAGAGTGGGATCTTGTTGTTCTAATCCAGGTAAACTCTTCATTCCCGCATTCATGGGCCCAACTCTCCTAAAGTTGGCCAATACCTTCTTTTTGCTCATTCTATACTTTTTGCTTTCTACTTTGTATTTATTCAAGAGCAGACCAGAACTCCAATTTTATTCCCTTATCATGGTTGATACCCCTAGTTGGGAATAGCCCATCTATCATTTGTGGGATTCATTTTTACCATGACCAGCCCTTGGCCAATTTGTGTTTCCACATCAACATCATGTATTGCTCTCGTTACTTTGTATGATCATGTCAGACTTATTTGATTTGTCATTCAACAGTCATACTGGAAAGGTCACCTTACACGAAAAGAGTCAAGGGCCCAGGTTGTGGACTTGCGCCTGAGAGTGCAGAAGGCAGCTGAAAATGTGGATGACAACATGCGGATCATAAACAGACTTAAAGCAGCACTTTCTGAATTGCTGAATGTAAGAAGTGTCAGCAGCATTCTGCAAACTTGTGCCACTTTAGGTAAGTAATATTTCGAGAAATTTTCTGAACTTTTTGTGTTGAAAGACTACCTAAGCTATATTGGACTAACTATTTAAACATGTTGTAAAAACTGATTGGAGTGGTTTGGTGATGCTTTTCTTCTAGACATGGCAACTCGACATTCTCAGAAGTGTTGTGAGAAACTTGTGGAGGCAGGAGCAATTGACAAATTGTTGAAACTCATTCGCTCGATGACCCGAAGTATTCCTGACCAGGAGGTTCTAAAACATGCTTTGTCTACACTCAGGAACCTTGCCCGCTACACAGAATTGCTTGACGTGTTAATTGGCAGTCATGGATCTATCGAAACCATTTTCTTTGAGATGCTAAGGTATGGTCACGAGAATCACTACAGCTCTACATGAAAATGTATTCCTTGCCGAACATAAGGAAGACATGAACCATGATTGATAATTTCTGCTGGACTATTGTCTTTCAGGAACAAGGAGGATGGATTCTTTATTGCTTCCGAGCTGCTGAAAAAGATGTGTACTAGGGACAAGGGTGTGGAAGCTCTGCATAAGTCACCTTCTTTGCTCAAGAGGCTTAATGGTTTGGTTGAAGAACTTACAAGGAGAGTCCACACCGACAAAAGGTATTTCCGCTTTAAGGTTTTGACTGCTCTTTGAGGCTATACTTCTGGTCATAACCGTTTTGTCATTTATAGATTTGGACGGGTCGTCGCTGCGAAAGAGAACACTGAAAGGAGGTTGAAAGAGGCAGCCGACCTTCTGAAGCTGATGACTTGCTAGATCCAGGTCGGCGTTCGAAGGCGTGGACTTGTACATTCTTCCATGACACATTCATACAACCAATTGCCTTGATTGGTACTAACAAGTGATGCGTGATGCAATTTATACCCTTTTTGGTTTTAATTGGTTTTACTTCTTTTGTATATTTAAATGGAAGGGACAGGATTCATTGGTGTGAATGGCTGTGCTTGCCGATCTCAGTCAAAGTTGGAGGCATAGGTGTGGTTCCGATTGTTGCTCGTGAACTGCAACTGCAATCTGCAATTGCCTTTCGGCTTTGTTTGTCGCTTATCAATTCACTTCCTTGAAAATGGCATGACATGAAATTTACTTTTCCAAAGCTCTAACAAGGGCACTCACTAGGCAATGAAAGAAAACGAGAGTGTACCATACGGAACAAGTGCTCCGGTTTTATTTCAATTCGCATTTTGATGGTACAGTGGTGATGGGGCTTGCTTAAAACAGTCAATAATTATGACTCGAGTCTAATATTTTGATTGCGGGTGTGGGATTGTTAGGAGAACACTCAAGAAGTTGTCGATGCTAATTATGGTTGCTAATAAAAAAGATTGTAAGATAATACACCGATTTTTCTTGCCACCAATATCAAGCTTTTCTTTATTAAACATAATTAATTGTTGCTGCATAGTATAGTACCATATCCTATTGGGCCATCTTTTCATAAAAAAGGATACAGTGTTGGCCCAATTAACAACTCTCTCTCTCTCTCTCTCTCTCTCTCTCTCTCTGTAGACTCCAGTGGGGGTTATTAAATTGGACAACTTGCATCTGAAGCGACTATAGTATGAAAAGATAATGCCAAACAGTGAACAATACATAGCGTGCTCCAACTTGCATTCGCAGCCGCAAGATTTTGGGGCGGCGATTCCCTCCGGAGGCGTTGAAATCCGAGAGAGCAAGAGATCCAGATTCCACGGTTCCACCAACCTCAAACAGTATCTTCCTACCGCCCTTTGGACTGCTATTTGAGTAACTGTATGCCATCATTGCCCCACAAACCTTATTGGAACTTTGGGAGGGACAGACACGAGATCACATCAAAAGCTTGTGAGATTGGAATCTTTACTTGGTTCAGGAATCAGAATCAAGATTCAGGACAATTCATTCAGATTCAGAAAGGATCATGTTGAAAACACCAACAGGACCAACAATGATTTATAGCAAAATTTAGCACCAGAACAATGATTAAGAAGAACAGAGTTCAAGTTTTCCATTTCATGCCAATCAAATTTTGTACAACCCAGCAATCCCAGAAAAATGTCCTAAGAATCAAATCCATCGACCCAAGAAACCTAACACAACATCATTCGCTAGAGACAACCTTTTTTGGATAAATTTCAAGCTGCCCTAGCAAGAACCTCAAGTCTCTCGGGCACATCAGCTGGGTCAATAAGGAAACCCCTCCTGGCAAGAGACCTTGGCACCTTGACAGTCAAGACCCCATCCTCGTACCCAGCAGAAATCCCGTTCACATCCACCATGTTAGGGAGCCTGAACTTCCTCATGAAACTCCTGGCAGGCTCTCTTGACTCCTCCACAGCTTCTGTTCTTATCATCAGGTACCTCGAGTCCTCAACTTCCACTCTTATCTCCTCTTTCCTCACACCTGCCACACACCCATTCAAGAAAAACAGAAAGGGAAAAAGGTCACGTCTTTATCAGTCAAGAGCACAAAACCAGGTGTGAAATGAATTGGGTAAGAAGAAAGATTGTGAAAGGTGAGAGATTTGGTGGAGATTTCTTCGGATGATGACGGCGTACCTGGAAGATCAGCAGAGAAGATGTGGCACTCCGGGGTCTGTGCCCAATGGACATAGTTTTCTGGGATGAAGTGATAGGGGGAAAGAAGGGGAGATGTGAAGAGGTGACTCCATGCAGGTGACGCATATGTTGGGATCTCCATGGATTCAGAAGAGGCAGCTCGTGGTATATTGGTGGGTAGAGATTGACCATAGAGATGAAGGGGAGAGGCTCATGGTGTTGTAGCAATTTATAGGCCCAGGGTGACAGCCTTCGAAGTTTGATGGGTCAGCTGTTCATTGGCTCATTTGTCGGCCGATGAAATAGTTCACTTTTTTTCTACCAAAAAAAAAAATTCACTTTCTTCCTCCTAGTTCATAGAATTGGAGGGTGATTCCCATATCAAGTGGACGACCCATCATCAGCTTGAACTTTCAAATTGAAAGATGCAGACTTAGAAGTTTCAAGAATGCAATTTCAAAATGATATCTAATTAAACTTGAAAATGATATCTTGTCGCGTGGCTCAATGTGAGATTTGGATTCGATTGGAGTCAACGTTAATGGAGCATATTGAATTAGATTCCGAAATGTTAAATGAGCGTTATAAAGACTGGAATACTAAACGATAAATCGCCATTATACGAAATTCGGGGTAAAATATAATTTTCCCTCGTCCCAAGTGGTTTATGTAACTTGGGTAACTAGAAAGTGTGTAAAATACTAAACTTTCTGTACAATGACAGGAAAGTTATTGAGGACTCGCGACAATTTTCATCAAGACTTAAATCCCACATCTTCCCGAGCTTCTCTCTTTTCAATTGTTTTCTTTGTTTTACTTTCATTTTAATTTTGTCACGAATTTGATTTGCAATGTCTGCATACTTTTCTGACAAGATTGGTTCACCTGATTAACGTTGCCCATCAATGAGATTACCACAACAATAGCACAATAAAGCAAGTAAAAAAAGTTCCTTTTATCATTACACTACTCTTTTCACGTGTTTCCCATGTTTCAATGGAAGAATTTAGTTGCACAAAAAGGTTAGACCAAAAAAAGAAAAGTAAATCTTGATTTAACCCACGTTACCATTATGTGATACATCCCCAATATAATCGATTCATTGTTAGGTCATGCACATCGAGATGCCAAAAAAATCATATCTTCACGATCATAATTACAAGAAATTATGAAGCTCTCAAAACAAATCCGATCATGGCTTCGTAGCATATAAGACTTGCCAATCATCTTCGGCGCCTACTCGCAACCATTCCTCTCCATTTTAAGCCTACCCTCAATATTGAACCGTCAAGGAGATGGAAATGGAAATGGACGAGCGATCCAGCTCCGAATCAGTCCGATTGAAAAAAGTAAAACCGTGCCGTCTCTGACAGTTCGAACAAGGTTTCAGAGGCCCTCGCTCGCATCGGGCGCACCAAGAAGATTCTCCGGCAATTCATTTCAAACTCGGGTTCCGTCGGTCCATTGATCAGGTCTAGTCGAACCACCGAGGAGGTGCACCTAGACACACACACCCCCCAGAAAAGGTAAAAGCCTTTCAACCTTGCCACGCCTGACATATTGACGTGGCCACCCTTTTCTCTCTCTCTCTCTCTCTCCATCCCATATAATAAAAATCTCTCCTTTTCCTCATCTCCTCTTCTTCTTCCCCCTCTCATTTCCCACCTCTCCTTGCCACCCCCTTTCTAGGGTTTCTCTCTCTCTCTCTCTCTATCTCTTATCTCTGCAAGATGATGCAGGCCTCTGCAACCGGCATGGTCCCTCCCCCACTCGATCAGCAGCAGCAGTACCAATACCAGCAGCAGCAGCAGCAGCAGCAGCAGCAACCGTCGCAGCAGCCGCCGCCGCCCTACATGATGATGCCCCAGGCCCCTCCCCCGCCGCAGATGTGGGCCGCCCAGCCCCAGCCCGCGATGCCCCAGCAGGGCACTCCCCCCGCCGGCGCCGACGAGGTCCGCACCCTCTGGATCGGGGACTTGCAGTACTGGATGGACGAGAGCTATCTCGCCAGTTGCTTCGCCGCCACCGGAGAGGTCTAAAGCTTGAATCTTTCTCGTCTTTCCCTTGTTGGTTCTGTGTCTTTCGTCGCGCATCTCGATCTGTTCGCCGGGCGTCGCCGTTGCTGCTTAGGGGGAGATGACCGTGCGGTTTTAATGGAGATTGGGATGGGATGTCTGATTGCGAGCTTTTCATTCGATATGTTTTCGTTTAATCTCCTGATATATGGGTGGCCGCCTTAATTTCGATTCCTTTGGATGAGCCGAATCATAGTGTAAGGAGTAATTTGTTTTTTTTTTTGTGTGCAGTTTGGCATAAAATTCATTTGATTTGAGACGATAGAATAAAGTTAGTAGATGGGACTTTCAAGGATTGCTTGTAATAGGTTAAGTTGGAGAGATTTGGATCCTACCAATGGAGATTGGATGGAAAAAATCTTTGCTTTAGACTTTAATATGAATGCTCATGTTTCTAATTAGTGTGTGGTTTGATCGAGGTGTGGACAGCATACTGTAATTTGCAGATTTATTGGATGGGTTGGCCGAAATAGCTGGGAAGAGATTTAGGTGGAGAGGACGTTGTTTTGGTCAGTTCATTGAGTGCTCTTGTTTGTTGCAGATGGCAATGGCAAACATATTATAGCAAGATTTTGCCTTTTCCTTTTTTTTGTTGGAATGTCAACAGTTTCTATTAGCTGGATCACTAATGTACTAGTCTGCAATGACTAATGGTGGGGGTGGAGACAAGAACTTTCACATGGGGAGTATATGAACAGAGCAGACTAGCTGAGAAAAATGGTCGCTACTGTGCTATCTTTCATTGATAAGAAATCTTTTAGTCTGGTGCTTATCTCACATTCTAACATTCACCTTAGACTTAGATTCACTCCAATACTGGTGGAGAATGCTTGCACGAGAACATTGCTACGTGTAAGTTTTGAACATCAAGCGTCTCATCTGTTGAAGCTGTTTCTTATTTAGGTGGCCAACGTAAAGGTTATCAGGAACAAGCAAACAATGCAACCAGAAGGTTATGGTTTCATTGAGTTTTACACTCGGGCAGCGGCTGAAAGAGTACTACAGACGTACAATGGTGCCATCATGCCCAATGGTGGGCAGAGCTTTAGACTAAACTGGGCTAGTGCTGGTGAAAAGCGTGCGGATGATACCCCTGAATATACAATTTTCGTGGGGGACTTGGCTTCAGATGTTACGGACTACATGTTGCAAGAGATGTTCAGGGGACGCTATCCTTCTGTTAGGAGCGCAAAAGTAGTAATGGACAGGCTTACGAGCCGTACAAAGGGTTATGGGTTTGTTAAGTTTGGAGATGAAAGTGAGCAGATACGTGCTATGAGTGAGATGAATGGAGTCTTCCTTTCGACAAGACCTATGCGAATTGGACTTGCAACAAACAAGAAGATTGCTACTGGGCAACAGTATCAAAAAGGTATGTTACCGCAATTGATCTTGCATGTTGTTACTTGCTAGTAGTCACTACGTGGGATTATATTCTATCTTGATGTGAAACTGCTGTTGTGCTTAGTTGTGATATCAATCTCTTTATTGTTTGTTTTATAGAAGATCCCCAACTTTCTTAGTATTTTGCCTTTTCAATCTCTGATCCACGATATGCCTAGCGTACTGTTATCTACTTTCTCCGTCTCAGTATTGTTGTTGAAGACGAGCAGCAGTTACAAAGTTACTTTCAAGTATTTGGGCTCAATAAGTATTGTCAGTTTAAGCTTCCAAAACTTATAGAACTCCTATTGTCTCAAAGCAGGCTGTCGAGAGGCTCTATCATATAGGGGCCTGGAACTGATTTCGGATGAAATGGTTGTCCTTTTAGTCCGTGGCCTCGCTTAGGTCAGTGTTCCTGTTTACGTAATGTTGTTTATTTGAGTTTCATGTAGCATTTTGATGCTACAGTTTCAGTTTATTCTCAGTTTAATCCTTCTAGCAGCCAGTGAGATTACATTCCGATATTATACTGGTTAATTACGGAGCCACCGGTTTAGTTGCATTTTGTTTTAGTGCTCGTCAATTTTCTTCGTCCATATTTCCTTTCCGAGATTTCTTTCGAGTTCATTGTTAAATTCCTTATTACTGGCCTAGAGTTGTCCTATTGTGTCTCTCTTTCTGCCGAATTCTAATTTGGGGTCGTCATCTTTTTAAAATTGTAAAGTTTCCCTGGAGCTCAGGTTCTCGGAATTCTCTCTAACAGGCTAGCTGTTGCTGATCAAGTCATTCTCCTGGCATCTATTTTTGCCTACTCTTTTGCTCAACTCTCATTTCCTTAATGGTAATAGTCTTCCAATTCTCGATGAATTAAGACTACTCATATAAACATGACCCGCTTCAACCATAAGTTTCCTTTTTCTGATATCGTTGCTGGGGTTCCCTATTTACCACAGATTACATTGGAAATGCCTTTACTATCGGGCCTGAAGATTAGTTATTCTGGCCTGTACTCTGGGTGGGAGCTTATGTTTTTGGTTGAATATGAATATGTTCTTCCTGTCAGCGTCAACTGCTGTATAGTATAGATTGTTCTGGTCTAGGAAATGGGGAGTTGTTGGAAAACAAGTTCATTATTGGTGTTAGTGAGTCGGTGATTAGAGTATTATTTATGTGCTTTGACTAAATGAACTTTTTCGAATTGAAGGATTTGTTATGATCTCACAGAAAAGGTAGTCATAGTGTTGCACTTGGTGTTTAGGCCAAATAGACCCTGCATGGATATACAGAGTTCCATTTATAGGTTATGAAAGTGACGTTGCAAATAAATCTGATTTATAGGCTAAATAATCTAGTTTCTGCTTGGAAACTTTTGTTCTTTTTTATTTCCTCACCAGTCGAAGTTTTGGTTTGAGCAAGTTATGTGTAGGTTTCAGAAATGGATTATCTAGTGTGCTGTCCTTGGTTTTCTTTCTATTTAGATACATATGAATAGGAAAACTCTTAATGCTATTTCAGTCTATCCTTTGCTCAGTTGTTTCCAGCGTTGCATGGTGTATTTAGACATTGGATTTTTTAGTAGTGATATTGGCGGCATTATAGCCATCATAATCATCATCATTACTAGCATTATTATTTGGACAGCTGTTTGGCTTATTATTTGGGTCTTTCTTTAGCATCTGAGTGTGTTGCTGTTTGTTGATTTGGCATTTTTGGGGCAAGACAGACAACTGAAATCTGGTATTTGCAAGTACTATAAGCGATAGATCAAACCTGCCTCTGGAGACACTCGGATTTGACTTGCTCAAAAGAGATGCCTCACTTGAAATGGCGATACAAATTCTCTTCATTGTTTCATTTATGAGCTTGTTTTACTTATTTGCAGCATCTTACCAGAACACTCAAGTTACTCCAAATGAGACTGATCCCAATAATAAAACTGTAATTTTTCTTCCTCATCTTCCAGTATTAAGAAACCAGTTTGTTATAATGGGCGTCACTAAGATTTTTCATTTCAGGTATTTGTTGGTGGTCTAGATCCCAATGTGACCGATGACCACTTGAGACAAGTTTTTGGACAGTACGGTGAAATTGTCCAGGTGAAAATACCACCTGGGAAGCGGTGCGGATTTGTTCAGTTTGGCGATAGGTAACCCCAGTTTATTAATCTCTGAGATGGCATCTCTTACCAGAAATTATAGTTTTCTTACTCATTGTTTGATTCACCAGAAGCTGTGCGGAGGAAGCTTTGCGAATGTTGAATGGAACCCAGCTGGGAGGACAAAGCATTCGGCTGTCATGGGGACGGAGTCCTGCAAACAAACAGGTTTGCTTATTCATTCGGATGATTTGATAATGTGTCCGTCAAATTTTCCCCCTGTATCGATAATTCTGTGCAGCACTCCTCTTAACATGTGATCTGTGTGTGCGTTTTTTAGCCCCAGTCAGATCCGAACCAGTATGGAGGGTATTATGGATACGCCGCTGGTTACGAAAACTATGGATATGGTGCAGCTTCGCAAGATGCTAACATGTACTATGGCGGTTACGCTGGATATGCAAATTATCAGCAGCCCCAGCAGCAGCAGCAGCAGCAACAGCAACAACAATTAGGTTATAGTTGAGAATTTGGCAAATCTCGGGGTATTCTGTCATTGTGCTTATCCCGTAAATGGAAGCTGCGCTCCTCTCTACCTTCTCTCTTTCTTGCCTATTGCGAGCCTTTTTTAGTTTGTCGTCTTAGAGTTTATGCACCGACATAAACCTTGGAATCTTTTGTCCGAATATCTCATATGTTGTACTGCCTTCTTTTTGTGTTCTTGATGCGTTTTTTCCCCCTCGGGTATTTCCATAATATCTTGTGTTACATGTGACGTTATTGTAGCTGACTAGATTAAATAGAGTGGCATGTTAATCTTCTGTTGAGAGTATGAATCTCTTAAATGAATGTGCTTGTCTGTGTGGCATCTCGTCCATGAAGTGATCTGCCGAACCTATTTGCCTTTTAGACTAGCATTTAGTTTAGTGGTTGAAACTCCGCTAGACATTTGTTCGGGCAGTGCGTTATCAGTGATGTTGGCTAACTGTTGATTTCATACCGACTCTTCGGATTTCATGCTGATTTCGGAGAAGGATCTTCAGACTTAGTGGTGCCTGAATGAAGAGTGAATGTTCAGTGATGTACGTGTAGATATTGGGAAACCTTGAACCAAGTTGATAGGCTTCTATCGGTGTTGGTTTTGTGCCTGGAGTAATGCCGCGGCCTTGGCGAGTTTCTCCCTGCGATGTTGAACAGCATCATGACTGCCGTGGGCATCGAGAGATTGCGGGAGGATGCGTCTCAGACCGAGCATTCCCTCTTTGCTGGGTTAGAGACTTCATGACAATATGACCTAACTGACCGAAAAAAAGAAAAATGACAATATGACCTAAGTAAAATATTTTCATTCCTTTGTCCTCCTCCCTTGTTCCAAAGATCTGTTGAGCAGGACAGACGATTGCCATAGTTGTGCAAAAGCTGAGACATATATGAGAAGTAGACTTGTCAAATAGGTGGGTCGGGTTGGGATTGTGTTAGGTCGAAAACGGTCCAACTCAAATAGATCTATTTAATTTATTTTCATGTAATGCAAATTTAATGACCCATACTCAATTCAATTCATATCCGAACCGATCCATGTTGCTAAAATACTTTCATATTTAATTAAACCTAAGAAAATTCATATCTAAATTGAGATAAGAATTTGGAGTGAGGGAGTGCGAGATTGAGTGAGGGTGAAGAAAATAAGTTGAGTTTAAATAAATTGTAGATTCAATTACGATCCATTTAACACTCATATTATACTTATATTCATTTTTGCCCCATTTACTAAATATAACTAATTTATTTATGGCCCATTTACTGATATATGAGTTAAGAAATGAGTTTATGACTATTTTGACAGGTGTAATGAGAAGGATTGAACAGACCTCTCCTGTCTTGTCTGCCTTCTCTTTTTGCTCTTTTTTTTTTTCTCTTTTTTATGCCTTTTCTGAGGGGTGATGAAAGGGCTTTGTGATGTGTATCATTAAGGATTTTGCAAGGTGGGTTGGTCTTATACTTTGGCCAAATGTCACGTTGGGATTTCATTTTTGACAGGCAAAAATTGCACATTGAGTTGTTCCATGTTAGGACACATTCTAATGGAGCTGCCAACTGCCAAGCGCCTGATACTTAAAATCAATTTTTTATTATTATTCTTTTGTTTAATGAAATGATTAAAAAAATAAAAATAAAACGCCGCCCTAATCTGCCACCTTTCTTGAACTTAATATTTTAGGAGGGCAAGATGGTTTTCAAGAAATTCCATAACATCGTGTCTCAATTTTTCAAATTGCCAAGAGCATGCCATGACACTAGTGTATGTACAAGTTATAGCAGGCCGCCGGCCCAAAATTCTCCCTTAATATAGATCTAGTTTTCTTTCCGCGCTATTCGAAATTGAAATTGCAGGGAGGATTTGGACATGAATTCCAAATGTGATGATGTGCGCTCCATAAAAAGGAGATTTGTTAGGCAATCGTTCGGAGGTATCAAACTTTAATTACTAATAATATTTTATGATCTTTTTTTTATATTTATTTTGGAAAATGGCACAAATGGTCATTGAACCTTGACCCAATATACAATGTGGTCCATGAACTTTTAATTTGTTCAATGTTGTCTTTAAACTTTAGCGTAATGTGCAATGTGGTTTGTGAACTTTTAATTTATTCAATGTAATCCTTGAACTTTCTGAACATATTCAATTTAGTTGCTGGACTGTATAAAAATATTCGATGTTATCCCTGAACAAGAATTAATGGAAGGATAACATTGAACATTTTCATATAGTTCGGGGACTAAGTTGAATATGTCCACATCGAACAAATTAAAAGTTCAGAGACCACATTGCATATTAGGCTAAAATTTAGGGATCACATTGCACATTAGGCCAAAGTCAGGAACCATTTGTGTTATTATTATTATTTTTTTCCTTTCTATATGTTCATGTATCAAATTCATTCATACGAAGACCTTCAAAAGAGCCGGCGGCCATCACACTCATTTCAGCTAACTCAAAAATATTCTTGGTCAATAAAGCTTTAATAGTTTCTTTTGCTTTTTGGTCCTTGTCATTTCACTTTTTTGGAAGGGCCCCCCTAATTTTTTTTATATAATTAATTTTGTGGACATGTTGAATTCAAAGCTTGGATTTCTTCACGCCGGAGGTGGGAAACCACGGTCCGCTCTACACACAAGACAGGCCCTCATGTTTGATGCCCCCTTTTGACTAATGGTGCTCTTCCTAAATCAATTATCAAACCCCCACTAGCTGAAAAATAAAATAAGAAAAATAATAAGTAAATAATAAAATAAAAAAAGAACATAGGGTATGATAAATAAATAATTAATTAAATTAAAAGGTGCCGACTTAGGTACGAAATTCTCCTGATGGGTCTCCTTGATAACACAGCTGGAGATGGGAGATCTGCAATCTTCAATGTGGCTCTTTCTCCTTAAGTGTTGATTTCTTCGTTTGTTTGGTTTTAAAATTGAACACGACAGGTACGGTTGTACTTTTGCATCTACCGTTCTCACATTTCATCCTCAGATTCATCAACCCATCAACCCAAAGGAGATGGATGATAAGTCATTAATGACGATTAAATCCAGATCTTTTAACTATCCCGAAATGAAGTGACTCGGCGATTCTCGCACATTTCAATTTGATCGCGAGGTAAAATTATGGATTGGTCCGTCCCGTTAATTCACTCTGTTTGGTTGCGCTCAATGTCTTGTCTCGATCTTGACAGGTTCAAATCGCTCCACGAGTGGATTGTATGACCCGCATCTGGTTGGGCATGCATGAACTCACTCGATCAGCTTTACATGCTTGGTCCTCGACAATATCGGTGGTGTACTTTTCCATTTCTTGTAGTCAATGTAAAAAATCGCCGCGTACTAGCACTTTTCCAAAAGAAAAAAGTACATATCTTGCCAGGTTCTATACTGTGGTTATTAGTTCTGTCCATGTAAGTAAATCTGAGCAGAACATGGCATGTTCTTTATCCTTTAGCTGGATGATCCCTAGTATAATCCAAGATTAATGAGGGGTCTTCATGGAATTTAAATCGAAAACCATATTCGCAACTGGCATCCTCACATTAATAAAAACATCAAATCTTCCACATGATGTCATTTGTCAGGTCATCTTAGTCTTATTTTCTTCCCTTTATTTTATGTTCTTTTAGTTTATTGAACAGTACGGCACATGACACTGCCTCCATATCATCATCTTCCTCATCAACCCTTTTAATCTCACACACCCTCTATAAATTCATGCTCCAAACTTCAAACCATTTCAATCTCACACACCAACATTCGCCTCACTCCTTCCATCCACGCATTCTCCATCTGAAAGACAACGAGTTTTCTCAGGAGAGAGATATCGAGATGTCGATCTCGAGAGGGCCGTACGCTTATTTGAAGATGGAGAAGGAAGACCCGGAGGAGGTGAACCACAGGCGGGCTCGGTTCTTGATCTACAAAGCGTTGGAGAGAGCGGACTACGAGTCTCAAACTAGGAGGCCATCGTTCTTGCGGATCAGGTTCTGCAGGCTCAAGATGAGGGTCGGCAAGAGGTTGAAGAAGATGAGGATGGGCGTGCTGTGGACACTCTCTGTGTCCAGGGTTGGTGCTTACAAGCAGAAGATCATGAAGCAGATGAAGGGAAGCTGCATGCGCTTGTTCAGACTTGGAGAGAGCACCAAACCCAGCATTCCACATTTACTCATATGAATCAAGTTTTCCAACTCTCTTCTTTTATATCTTCCCTTCTGTATTTGGGATTTACTGTTTGTGAGAAATATTACAGTCATTAATGTCATTTGAAGATCGCAAAATGATTAATTATCAGTCAAATGATATGTTTCAGTTCAGACTTAACACGCAATTTTCCATCTAATCTTACCCTAATAAAGAAGCATTGGCCATGAGCAGCAAGACAAGTTGCAAAAAAACATAAAGTTAGACCAAAAAAATGAGCGGCGATTTATAACACGAAAAAAATACAGGATTCGTGAATTATTCCAAAGATATATTAACTACAATAAAACATGTCGATACTGAAATATGCAATGAGCCCTCGGTTGCTAAATCTCGACGAGATTAACTACGTGCCCTGCCCTCGATGCGTTTGGTCTGATGGCTCGGTGTTTGGGAGGGTTTTTGGGGCATGTTGAGCTCAATCTTACTGAATAGAGCCAAGAAAAAAAAGAGACTAAGTTCTCTTATCATGAATGTAACATCTTCATGTCTTTAACGTACTGTGGTATCACATCAATCTAACATGGAGATGCAGTATCGTGTAAAAAAATAAAAACTGTATTCATTGTATAGACATAGCATTGAAGGAGGGCAAGCAAGACATGGGTTCTTTCGTCATGCCTCTGTGTCCTCGACGACATTGCGAGTCTGTAAAAAACCATGCATTCCAATGTCACTTTCACTCTCTGTCTGTCGGATCTAATCATTTTCACCAGTCTAAACCCTAGAAAAAGGTCAAAGTTTACATGAATGTACTGTCCGAATCTCCGGGAATTTTGCACTCTGTGCCGTAAATTTCCCACCATCCGTACCTTCTTTATCTGTACTTTTGTTCCTCCGGAAATTACTTTATCCGCTTCGAAAATATAGATAGATTAATTCGAGAAAAGATAATAATTGATGGTCAGCACAGCTAGAGCGTGGAACTTTTGAATATTCGGTATTTCTTGACCTAAATTATAAAGTATGGTTCATCATCATTGTTCCCTGTTTGATGGCTTCTTTCTCTGATAAAAAGATAGATATGTTACTGAGGCACTAACGTTTAGCATAGGATTCTTCATCGCATTAATTGAGTTTAAGGTAATATAATCCAACATAACATGAGGTGTACTGACTTATGCATGTTCTGCAACATGATCCCGTCTCTCATGCACTGTATTTAAGGGAATGCTTTTGCTGATGATTTGTATATTAGTCTAGGCCCAATAGCCCAACTCACTCATTTTCTATTTTTTGCTTGGTCCACTCAAGATTATATCCTTTATATCATTCACAAATTTAGAAGATGGCAGCATATTGAGAGCTAACATCACTCAAGTCTGCACCTGTTAACATTTTTCTCGTGTTTGGGCCGGGTCTGATGGAAAAAGACCTTACTGAATCTCGCCCGAATATTGTCGGGTCCATCTGATTCCTAGGCCCATGATCACGTCTAGTAGTGAACACAATGATGTAGAAATACTAGATTTTGAATGACTATGATCTGATGACAATGTTGTTTAATCCATCAAAGACATGGTTAGAACCCGTTTAGCGGCTTCGACTAAGGTTGATACGTCCTAATTCTCGCTCTCCATAGCACCAACCTGCTGACAAAGGCATGCCATATTTTGGCACGTATGCTAAGAACTGATCCTCTATGGCTTAGAAGATTACAGTTTATGTGAATTTTGCCTTCATTTTTCTGTCACCTGTTACATACGTGATTCTCGGCCTTTAGACAAAGATCGCATGTCAGCTAGTCGCAACAATCAACAATGGAAAATGACTGATCATTAGTTGCAGCCAAGTCTGGTATGTGTTTGTCAACTTAGAAACCAAATTGGGATATGCAATTCCATTCTGGTGGAATCCCAATACCTCTGCATTTTCTGTTTCAAGAAAGACAATGACATCGTGGGCAATGACCGATTCGTCGCAGTGATTGTTTGTCAGGCATTTATTCATTGATGCATTCGTTGCCATTGGGCTAACAGTGCGTGCGGGTTATTGGCTGAACAAAATAGTTCGCTGCCCTCAAAATAAACAGGTTTTGCCTTCAGAGCGACACTACCCGAGTCGACGTAATTGAAGGATTAGCTCTTTAGGAGGGGCTTTTTGTTGTCTTCCCATTTGTCCAAACGTGCTTTAGCTTTCTCCACCTGAAACATGAAACAAACAACCGAAGCCCTCTATTTAGATGTATTCTATTGAGTCGCTTGCTGGCTGGTAAGACATTTATGCATGGAGGCATGTCTTTTTAACTATGTAGCTGTCTCACTGAAGTCAATTGGATGAAAGTCAGATGAGCTCAAGCCCAGTGGAGCAAGAGTCTAGTGAAGGACACAAATAAGTGAAATGGCCTGCTATTCATGTTGGTACTCCATAATGAATTTTGGCTGACATTTTTGTCTGAGCAATTCGTTTTAATTTAGATTTACAAAGTGATCTCAACTTGGACGATGAACTGCAATGAAGCAAAACCGACGCTATTGTGAAGCCTGCAGGCAAAAGATTGCGCAGCATGGCTTCCCGTGTGAGCAGCGATTCAGACGTTCTGGTTATCGTTTGTTGGTAGACTAACAGTTCAAATGGCGTCACGGTAATGTCACTCAAAGTGACAATTCTAAAGGCTATACAATCACTGAAGGCTGATTTGATGAAAAACAGAGTAAATTTGCATTAAGAGTTTACCTCTTTGTTCCAGTCTGTGCGGTATGTGACCCAAATTAAAATCAGAGTCTGCATGACTGTTCCACCTAGCATCCCCGACCATATTCCCTGCAATCAAAATCAGACATCTTCTCATATCACAATGATCGGGCCGTTCGATCTCGCTAGTTCTTCAACCGCTTAAATGAAGCACATCGAGCATACATAAGATGATGTCTAATGGTGAGAGGATTTTACCTTAGCGCCAAGGTCAAACTTAAATCCGAGGACGCAACCAATGGGAATTCCAACCAAGTAGTAACATCCCACGTTGACGTAGGCCACGAAGGCTTGCCACCCACATCCCACAGCGACCCCTTTGATTCGAAATTCCAAATGTTATGTAATGGACTCACATTTGACAGAAAGATAAATAATAGACATGATTTTTACGGTTCACACTTTTCCACATTTAAACTTTCCAATGTACTCCTATTTTCTCTCCTGGTTTTGAGCTGGTACTAGTAAAAGACACCGGTCTCGCGTTGCATAGGCATGATTAAAGCTTGGACATTTTACTAGTTGAAGTTTTTGTAATTAGACAGGTTATTGAAGAGCTGTGAACATTTGGTGTGGCACTGGATGGGTCAGCTTTTAGTGCATTGTTGAAGGTGCATCAGATGTATGACCACCTTAGCTCAGACTGGCCATTTAAATTTGTCAGGGTGAGGGCCACTTTAGCTCTTCTTGCTTGAGACAATACAAGCCAGCCAATCTGAACAAGTTCCTTGGGCTGTGAGAATCAATTAAAGATATGACTAGCGACACCAAGTCTCACTTCTAGAGAAAAAGGGCAGGCATCAGCTTTACGGTGGCAAACGCATGATGATGTCTTGGATTGAGTTTCAACCACGATCTCCATCACGTGTCCCCGATCCAAATTTAGAGATTTAGAACTCGGAAACACGCTCCCCTAATTTTTCGTATCGAATACCAGAATCATCCGCTTGTATTGAGAAGCAATCGACCATATGAGAGCGAAACACTAGTCATGTACTAGTGTCTTAAAACAATATAGACTTACCAGATAATACTGGCTGAACACCATTGAGGACGAGAGTGACGGCCAAGTATGGGCAGAGTTCAGAGACAGCATTGGCCACAGCCTCACCTTCTGTGAATGCATAGCTGATCACATGCCTCAGCGCCATCACTACAACTGCTTCAATCACAGCAATTATGAAGGAGACCAAGTTCACCATCACCACTGAGAATGCTGCTGACTTTGGATGCCCTGCCCCTAGTTCATTCCCCACCCTCACACTGCTCTTACATAATACACATAATCAGTTAACCTCGAATTATCAAACACCACAACTTTGTTTTCAACGAGACTTAGATTTTTCTCTCTTTCTTTTAAAATATATTGAGTAAAAATGGAGGTGTAGCCATATATCTACTTTTCAAAGTGATTGAAGAGCTCAATGTACTATTGGAAGAGTAATGTGCATGTTGATGGACAGACCGTGACCATGTAACATTTTGTTTGTAGCCATTAGTCTGTGATGTGTGTACATTCGACAGATTTTGCTTTCAAAGTACATATATTTTGTGCAAACTAACCCGTGCAATCGAAATTACCCCCGTTTGTGTATTCTATAAAAATCATGTAATAAAATGGTACCTTGCAGCAGCATTAAACCCCACGGAGACCATGAACAACAGTCCTTGTATTGCCATGCTGCACAACCCAAAAACCATGTGTTGCTGTCCATTAACTTTTACATCTCAAAGCAAAAATAATCTACATGATTTCATTTAGTGAATAAATTTTATCCACATCAATTAATTGCAAAGGAAAAGCATAGTATAGGCAAGAAAGTAGCTCAAAAAGCAAGCATCAATCAAAGTGCTATCATCCTTAGGTTCTTAGTCACGGAAAAAACTATGTACATTCATCAGTTTCTCATATCATCAAAGTTAATTTCTCTGATGCTTTTCAATTAAAGATTGAAATGACGGATAAGCAAAGCTTTCCACTAACAAGTTAACATGCTGATGCTTTACTCCAGCACAATTATGAGGTCGAAGAAAGGCTTTTCGCTGAGATAAAAGGTAAAAGACAATTGAACAGTAGAAAGTAAAGCTAATGGTCCTTTTCTCTGATCTCTTGTCACTGAGAGACGAAGAGCTACTAATGGAACCCACATTGCCTCGTGCATCCATCAAAATGGGATGAATATATTCTAAGAAGAAAGCATTGGAATAATTTCTCATACATGGGGAGTAAAGTTGGTGGTCATTATTCCCACTTTCTTATATTTCGCACTTTCTTATATTTCGTCAGCATCTTTTAGCTTCTTCATTTTTGTTATATATTCTACAAACTTCGTCTCTTATATACAGTCAATGGTAAGTTATGTCCATGCTTCAGT